ATGCAGCGGGCTGAATTAATTGGGATTCCCTTGTCATGATAGATTCCAGAATATAAATAAAAGAGATCCAATAACCACTGCGATAGAATTCCGAGTGAAAAAGGTGGAAAATAAATAGAACAAAAGGATGAATTTTAAACTCAACTCCAATGTACACGGAAAAGTACATACATTTGAACTTCTCAAGTCGTCACGAACACCTGTGAAAAAGTTTGGGAAGAGTTTGACCCGTGAAGTTGGTGGAATCGATAGCTAGTTCCGCAGTCCACCCACCGGCGAGAGTTTCTTCTTCGTTAAAATACAGAGTGTCAGTGCCAAGAGAATCTCTGTCTTGATCTTTTTCTTTTCATCAACTCGGCTCACTCCTCTCCTCGTTTTGTTCCTCTGTTACTCCAGGCGTCTATTCACTCCTGTCTCTTCTCCCAATTAAGTGTGACTCAATGGAAAGGATAAATAGAAGACTGACACGTAATTTTTTTCTCTTCTCAGTTTTATTATTCATCTTGATCCATTATTTTATCGCTGGAAGTAGCTTTAGCTCGTTGCAAAGCCACCGCAGCATTTACGACTTTCATTTCGTTTCATTACTATCATTTATTCTTCGCTGATTAAAAGAAGAAAATGGCGAATTTGCGCTGGGAATTGAAATGAGGGAGAATTGAAATTACATTGGGACATGTATACTTTTCTCGAGTGAGCCTGGGTGGGAACTGGAAAATTGTGCTTTTTTAATTATTTTGAGAATTCAAGAAAAGAAGTTTTTACGTTAAATATTATTTTAGATTTCGAATTTATTGGGAATTTAGAATAATGCAGGAATGAAAGAAATTTATTGATAAACGTAGCGCATTACCTGCTGAAATCTATTGGTTTTTTCTTAAAATTTTGTTTTCGTCGCATCTATTGAAAACTTTAATAACTTTTCTGCAAAAAAAAATCGATAAATCTTTCTATACAACGTATTCTATTGAAATTATTTCTTTGGACTTCAACTTTTTTATGAGTTTTCGAGGAATATCTCCGATTTTTGTAATAACCTTTTTTGTAGAACGAATTGAGAGCTATAAAAAAGGCTGTATCAACAATGTTGCCATCTCCCTTAGATTTAGAGATATTCATAGAAAACTAGCCAATAGATAAAATCAATTTTGACCGTTTTACCGTTTCACGCATGAACTAAAATATATCAATAGAATAAGTTGGATACAAAAATAAAACTCTGTTTTCTGGGGCATGCGCTAGGGATTTCATATATTTCAATCATTTTCAATGTCATATAGGCCTTAAAATTTCAATTTCCTTGAATGTTCCACCAATTATTTGGAAAATTTATGAGTTTTCACTTGAACTTTTCTTTCTTTTAATCAATCTAACCGATAATTATCAAAGTAAATTTTTTCAGTTTTACAATTTTTCCAGTAAATTGTGCGAGAAGAAGTTGAAGAAATTCATACCTAATCAGTAACATCTCAATTACATTTTGCAACGTATCATTTTTTTTTACACATTTTCTTTCCATTAATAAATAGTGAAAGTGGCTTGAGAAATAGTCGATTATCGTCTATCACATGTCAGCAAATCTTTTTTACATTTAATGAGAAAACAATATCGCATTTTAAGCTTTATTTACAATCACAATGTCCAGAATTATTGACTTTATCGTAAGACGCTGGATTAAATCCGCGTTTTCACAATGTTTACACCAAGAACTAAACTGTAATTGATTAGAGAAAAATTGCAACTCCGAATTTAATCAAGTTTCTTCAGTGTTTTTAAAAATCTTCAAGATCAAATCATGTTCGCTCTACTGAATTTAAGCTTCGAATCACAGGTATTCCCAATCAAAAAAATTCCGTTTCAAAAAATCACCATCTTGTCTTCGAAAAATTGCCGTTTCTCCTCAGAACAAATAATACATATTCCATCCTTCGCTAAATATTTAATCTCAAATTTTTCTACTAAATTGTGCGAGAAAAATGTGAACAAATTTAAACTCAATTACATTTTACAGCGCATGAGTATTTTCTCCACATTTTTTTCCATTAATAAATAATTAAAATTGCTTGAAGAATAGTCCATCACGTCTACCAAATGTCAACCATTTTTTTACATTTAATAAGAAAACAAAACTGGATTTCAATATTTATTTACAATCCCAAATTACTGATTTTATCGTAAGACGCTGGAGTAGATCTGGATTTTCACAATTTTTTCACCAAAAACCAAAATTCATTCAATCATTGAGTTGAGAAAAATTGCGATTCCAAATACAATCAAATTTCTTCACAGTTGTTAATAGTTCTCAACATCAAATCATGTTCCTACTCTTCAATTTAATTTGATTCCCATTCGAAAAAATTTCACCGTTTCAAAAAAACACTATCTTCTTTTCGAAAAATCGCCCCTTCTCCTCAGCACAAGCAACAACTACTCCCACCCCCGTCAAACAATTGCAAAACAAAAAGCCATGTCCGAGTTGTAAAAATTTTTCCCCCGAAAAAAATCGAGAATTCTAGTTGCAACGAATTGAATGCAATCGGAATACACAATCACCGAACGGGGGAGGTTTTCCCTGAATGTAACAATTTTCCAACGAATGAATGAAAAAGAGATAACAGAAGACAGGCATCGAGCTATCCAATAAAAAATGCAGCTGAAAAACCGGTAGGAGCTCATAAAATTGGTGTTCAATTATCAAAAACACAGCATCACCTGGGACAGCCATTCCATTGTCAGTGTGAGGTGGGTCAGGGACGATTGAGTCTCGTTTCAATATTTTTTCATTCCGAAAAAGGGAGTGAAGTGAAACGCTTGTCTCCCACCCTCCACTTCGCGAATTCTACTGTGTGACTGCGACCCAGTTTCTTCACAATGGGGAGCGGAGTTTTTATAGGATTGTTGAATCCACTGGAACACTGTGGGAACTGATATTTTGTTGAAAATGAATCACCCTTATACAAACCCATTCCCAGAGTGGTAACGGTGGACAATGGGTCAGACAATGGTGGATAAAGCCCGGCGCTTCCGAATCTTTGAGGGGACTCGTGTCTCGTCTACTTCTTGTCATTCTCGGGGGTTTCTGTGCGGAAGGTATTGGGGACAATTACTGTCGGCTTGTGATTCTTGTTTTGTTAATTTTTACTGCTATTGAAGACTTGTGGTTGAAAGTTTCAGGAAAAAAATATAAGGACAGTTTTAATTCAATTGTACGATAAAAAATAGTAGAAACTAAGGAATTTCAGGTGAATGTATGCTCCAATTTTCAATTAATTGAAAATTCCGCGTAATTTGATATGGGATATTCAAATAAGTCTGCAAAATTCTCGTCTTCGTGTCCCTCAGAAATTTGGATTTTCAGGGAAATCTGGAATTTTATTCTTTTATTGTCTGCTAAATCGAATTCCATGGCGTTTTGCTGTAAATTACTGGACAATCGTTCATGAAATTTCAATTTTTTAAAGAAAATATCTCCATACAATAAGTAGTCTTCCGAACACAAATTCTACTAATTTTTTCTATAGAGAATTTTTCCCATCCAAATTTCAGTGGAATAGAATTCCACCATTCGACGTCACGTGGTACAACCTACAGGGTTTTCAACTGAGTATTTCCCTCATCAGAATCTCAGCCAATAGGAGGTCCGCATTTGATATCACGTGGTACAACCTACAGGGTTTTCAACTGAGTATTTCCCTCATCAGAATCTCAGCCAATAGGAGGTCCGCATTTGATATCACGTGGTACAACCTACACGGTTTTATATCGGTAAAATTTGGTAAAATCACGGCACGTTGCTAAGGGAGAATAAACAAAACAATTGAAATGCGAAAGTGTAGGTTGGAAAGTGGAAAGTGTAGGTTGTCCCACATTGACATCAAATGCTGCCCTCCAGTGACCGAAATTCCGATGGAGGAAATACTCCTCCAAATACCCCTCGAGCTTCAAAATGTATCGGGTATTTCCCTCAACCTTCCTTGCAAACAAACGATCGTGTCAAGTTCGGATATGTCCACTGAAATTTCAATTTTATCATTGAAAATTCATAATTTCATGAAAAAATCGTTGGGAACTGTAAATTTCAGTTTAATTATTCCAGAAAAATAAACGAAAAATCTGGAAAATTCAAAGAAATCTTTCCTTGAATTCCAGATTACCCAGATTCATAAACTTCCAAAATTTCAGGAATTTTAAGATTTCCCGAAAATTCAAGAGAATTTGACAGAGAATATTAATTTTCACTTGAAAATTCATGTAAATTGTGGAATTTTCGTCTTCCTGTCGCTAAAAAATTGCGACTTTACCTGAATTTTCGATCCAATTCTTGTTTGATTGGACCACGTGATATCAAATACCACAATTCTATTGGTCACAAGGGTGATGGAGGAAATAATCCGAAAGACGTGAAATTCCATTGACTTTTTCCCCTTAAATCGAATTAAAGGTCTTTTTCCGGAAAATTCAGCCAAATTTTGTTAACAGTGTAAGTCTCAAAATAAAGTTTGTTTTCTTTGGGTGCATCCGACGCCCCTCGTCCCTGCAACAAATCCCATAAAAAAATCCGCCCAGAACAATTTCCCCCAGTAATATAATGTACTACAACGTCTCCAATTTGCTCACAGAGTGCATTACTCGGAGTTTGAATTGGTGGTATTGGAGGGGTGGCCATGCCCACCCTAAACATCCGAACAAATTGGGGAAACGTCCATTAATTAAACCGAGTCTGTCCATTATGTCCTTGACAAGAACCTCACGTTGCGCTCCTCTCGCTCGGCAACCCCCAGTTTCCATGCCCAATCAACATATCACCGGTCATTACGCAAATTGCCGGCAATGCCGGATAACCGCTCCCACGAGTGATGCAGGTGGAGATCAACGTGTCCACCCACTTCTCCTCTTGCTCTCTCGGTCATTTTTTCGAATGGATTTCTTGATTTATGCCCATCACTCGGTCATGTCAATGTCGGGGTATTTTTTTAGTCAAGCCCAGGCTTCTTCTGGATTTAATAGACTGGCATTCGGTACAATATGCTATGTAAATCCGTTCGATAGTAGTGATCCATCGGGGCACCGTGACCTGGCCTACCCCACAGCTTTTTCCAGGTGTCGAAGTGCCGTCTGCAGCCCTCCTGTTCTATTCTTCTTTCCTCCTGGGAAATATGAAAAATAGGTGAGTACTCTCGGGCGAGAAAAATTCCAAGAAAATATTGTGCATTTTTGAAAGGCCTGAGGAACTGAGATAAAAGTTACGAGTTTGAAATAAGAATCTACGCTGAGAGAAATAATTACTTTTGACAAAGATTATTTCTTTGATACAAGAAAATATTCTCTTGTCAATTTCTAGAATCGTGAAAGCTCCTGGTAAATAATTTTGCGCTCACACTGAGAGGGAAAAGTCTTTCAACGGAATGAGATTCTCTTGTCCCGAGGATACTTTTAAGTGTGAGCATAAGTCATTCCGTAAATTCATGTAGTTTGCGGTATATCTAGAATTTAATGGATTGTGGGAATTCACGCTTTCCCAAACTGATCACTCATCATCTCCAACTGAGGAATTCTTGTTTCGATTGCAGGATGAACACTTTCATTATCAAATTAAGTGTATAGAAAATTGATCTCAAGTGATGCACTCTTTATGTAAGATTTTATGTAATCAAAGTCCTGATGAAAAAAATCTAGATATAACGCAAACTACATGACTTTATGGAAAGAACATCATTTCTAGTCTGGAGAACACTTGAAAATTCTCTCGGGACAAGAGAATCTCCTCCTGTTAGAAAACTTTTCTCTCTCAGTCGGAGAATGAAATTATTTATTAGGAGATTCACGATTTTTAAAATTGATAAGAGAACGTTTTCTTGTATTAAGTCAACCTTCTTTGTCAAACGTAGTTTTTTCTCTCAGTCTAGTCACGAAATGTTAACGAAAGAGGATATTTCTAGAGACAATATCTCAGAAATATTTTTATAGAAAATGCAATATTTTTTATGGAACATTTTTACTGACAACAATACGCCAAAAAAATGCGAAATTTCTCAGTAAAGTCTTTTTTATTATATAAGTTATTATTTAGTTTATTAGCTATATAATATGTGATTGCACTGCATAAATAATTCTCATACTCTATGGGTTGAATGGATTTTTTCCAAGTAAATTTTCAATTCCCATTCTTTCAAGAATTCATCAATTTTTTTTATCGTTATTTTACATCGCTTCGACCCGGTTAGGGTATGCTGCGATGATGATCAAGACTTTAAATGGTTAGATCTCACCATTCTCCCTGGCCGGGTTTTGAACTCGGAACCTTTCGCACGTGAGGCAATGAACTTACCCACTGCGCCAAGCCACCGGGGAGAATTCATCAATGACTTTAATCGTTTTCAATAGAATCGGCGAAAAATTGATAGACTATTTGATAGAAGTTCAACAGAAATTCATTAAATAAAAATTAATAAAATTAAATTCCTATCAAATTTTTCTGTTTTATTATAAAAATTTTTCGTGGGCAACTTTTTTGTTTATTTTAAAGAAATTCTAGTTCTTGAATTCACGATTTTCTTACATTTGAATCGATGATATCTCATGTTCTAAAATGATTCTGCTAATGCTTAAATTATCATTTGGAATATCTCTAACTACCTTTGTTATTAATAGTATATTTCGCCTCGAGTGTCACTGGGGTTTCTGACGCGTGTGAGGGTGCCTTTGGCTCGGCGTGCCAACCTCACACTCGTCACTACGAAAAAATATCGTTCACTACGAAAAAATATCGTTCACGCCTAGTGTCACTGGGGTTTTTGACGAGTGTGAGGGTGCCTTTGGCTCGGCGTGTCAACCTCACACTCGTCAAAAACCCCAGTGACACTAGGCCTGAACGATATTTTTTCGTAGTGATTTTCACTTTTGCCAGTTCGGGGAAGTGTCAACTCTATTCCCGGACTGTGAAAAGTGAAGGTCAGTACGGAAAAATATATTACCTGACATTTCAACTCAATTGTTGTTGAATCAATATTTTATTATTCACATGATGAAGTATACAATTCACAATTTTACAAAAATACAATATTTTTCAGAACAAACAAACAAAAGCGTCCGAATATTACAATAAAATAAAATATATACATTTTTTCGTTTTTATTGGAGCCCCAAAATTCCGGTTTTATTCACTCACCAGTGCTCTCTCCCGTTTTCGATGCATTTGCTCGGTGAGGGCAGTGATATGTTCACGATTTCCAATGTTCACCGACCGCAGGCTACAAAAGAAAAATCCGAATAAATCCATGATGGATGGGAGAATAAAAGTGAAACATTATTTCGCCTGAACAGGCGCTTTATGCTTAAAAAGTGCAGAGGGGAGGGGATTTTTTGCAGTCCCCGGGGAATTGTCCCCGGGCATTTTGCGGAGAAATACACTTGCGATGATTAATTGCACCATTTGGCCTTATAGCACCGGAAACTCGGTACTCTGGATACCGGCCAAACTCGTATCGTAAACATAACGCCTGGAGTGGCATAACTTCATTGTGTATTCCATTAAGTGGTATCAAAATGTCCAGTTGTGGGTTGTGATGTTGTGAATGTTCCGGGCGCTACTTATGATAATTCTCAGTTTGCCACGGCTGTTGGCCGATAAAGCATGCGAATAAAAAGGCAGATCAAAGTTATGGTTGAGTTTGAATAACAGCTTTTTCATGGGGTATTTGGATGGACACATTTTCTTTAAAAAAACAAAAAGCATGGGCAATATCTCAAATCGAAAATAAGAACTCGAACGAATGGAGGAAGTCAGGCAGATTTCATGAATACAATCGTCTTGCGTCGAATTTTGATAAAGCCCGCCTAACAAACAAAAGAGAATTGAATACCATTCTATGAAACATGAATGAACGAATCATAATTGTCCAAATCATTTAGGTCAGAGGAAAATATAATAATTCTACTTTCTTAACATTGCGTTTACTAAGATTTTCTTCGAACAAAGTTGATTAGAATTAATAGCTAGAATTATGAGATTATCTCACATTTTTGACGTTAAGGATAGGAGAATCTGAACACAACATAGTGAGAATGATGATCGATTTTTTCACTTTGAACAATAGTACATTAGAATACAAGGGCACAAATTTCGTTTTCAACGAATGTGTAATTTACAGGCCGAGCCGAAGGCGAGGTCTGTACACACATTCGTTGAAAACGAAATTTATTACCGAGTGCTCTATAATATTTTATGTCAAGTCGTGCAGAAGTCGAGTTTTGAGCAGGCTGCGCGACGCGCAGCGTGCGATAAACTCGACTTATTGCACGGCGAGACATAAATAATATTAATATCCGAATCCGAAATTTCTGATATGAATAAAAAGAAGCTGTGACTCAATATTCCAAATGAAGTTTTAATTTTTAATTTGGTGCAGAAAACACAAGATGACATATTCTAAGCACGGAATTATATTGATGAGATGAACAACAGATTGATGGAATTACCGTGTGAACTAACAAAAAATTGATAACAGTGTGAGCACACGTTTTTACCAGAGTATCAACAAACATTGAATTCAGTAACGAAGCGGTAAAACGGTTCAAGTCGACTTAGCTCTCTACTGATTTTTCGAGGAATATCTCCGAATCTAAGGGAGATAGCGAAATTTTCATAGTAAGCTTTTTCATAGATCTCAATTCGCTCTACAAACAAGGTTATAACGAAAATTTTACTATTTGCCTTACATTCCGAGATATTCATTGAAAACTGACCAAAAGCTAAAATCGACTTAAACCGTTTTACCGCTTCGCTACTGAATTCCAGAAATTCTCACTCTAAAATGGGTTCTAGAAGGAATTTAATTGTAAGTATGATTAAAATCTTATTCAGTAGGTATAGGAATTACTACATCAGCTGATAAATTGTGACATATGATTCTCATAGATCGTATTGCTTTTTGCAATGGGAATGATTATAAACAATTAATTGGGAAAAAGGCATAACGAAAGGGCAGCAAGCGCGCTACTATTCAAAAAATCGTTGGAAAACCTAGTAAATTCGCTACCGAATTCTATTGAATTTTTGTTGAATTTCCTATTTGTTTAGGCTGATTTTATCTGAAAAATGTTCTGCAGAAAAAAATCAAGAGAATTACGTTTTTTGGTCTATTTCCTTTTACTGGAGGAAGAAAAAAAAATAGAGAGGGAGAAATTCAGAACTTTATATTGAGAAATTCCTGTAGAAAATGTCTCAATAGAAATCTCTTCAGCAAGTAGACATCGAAACGGAGAGATAGAGATCCCCTGAATAATTTACGATTCAAATCAACTGATGCATTCAACCACCGCTTTTATTCCGAGAATCGCGAGGCATTATGTAATCTCACATCTCCTAATTGACGAATCAGGTTGTAATGGGGTAACTGGAGCACAACAGTGGCATTCACTGCATCCCTTCACAATTCAGGGTGTGGAATAGTGGTGGTTGAATGCGCACTTGGATCAATGTGTTGATCAACAGTAATGCAGTTGTGTCCCTCGAGTGCAATACTATCTCCACCAATTTGTCGCACTAGTCGTGCTTCGTTACGCTATCGACTTTACCAGGTGCACCACAAGTTATGGGGATGAAAAATTATGGAGGGATTAGATGGGGTAATAGTAGTGCGGTGAGAAAAACAATTGCCAGAGCCCTCGAAGGATAATTGAAGCGAGAATCGTATTCTTCTCGTTGGGAAATCGATTGTTTTTTTTTCTGTTGCATATTTGAAGAAAATTCGATTCTAGCAGAGGATTTATTGAGGATTTAATATAAAATAACAATGAATAAATGAATGAAATGAATAAAGATTAAATATTTTTTCATCTCATATTGATTAAAAGATTTTTAAGAATTCAAAAATATCGGTGAAGTGAATAAAAAATTTTCAAATAAAGAGTTTTTTATTCAAATTCCCCATTTCTCAGGATCTAAGGATTGTTTTATGTAAAAATACCTTTTTTCAACGAATAATAAAACGATTCAATTAATTATGGGTCTCATCACTTTGAGAATCTACTTGATGATCATTAATGTGAAATAAGACATATTTAAGAATATTTTTTCCCCTTCCAAAGGAAAATTTAGAAATAAACAATATTTCTTTGATCCAAATGAAGTTTTTATTAGCAGAAATCAAACCCTTCTTCAGACGGAGAGGAGAATGAAGTTATTAACATGTAATAATCCTTTATTCGTATCCAATGAATCGTTAATTTAATTTTAGGAGAGAATTTATTGAGAATTAAGTAATTACTCATTTCCTATTAATAAACAAAATTTAATAAATTAAAAAATATCGTTGAAGTGGATAAAAAAATGTCAAATAAAGAGTTTTTCATTCAAAAGCCCCATTTCTCAGGATCTAAGGATTATTTTATGCAAAAATACATTTTTTTAACGAATAATAAAATGATTCAATTAATTATGAGCCTCATCACTTTTAGAATCGACGTGATCATCAACGTGAAATAAGACATTTAAGAACATTTGTTCTTCTGCCAAAAGAAAATTTATGGACGAATAACATTTACTTCATCAAAGAAATTGCGTCTGTGATAAATGAACATGTGCAATTATTGAAAAATTCAGTCAACTTGTCCTTCTTAGCAAAAACACTTGTTAAATTTCTTTTTTCATCTCAATGTCCATTCCCTCCATAAATAATGATTCAATTTCCTCCTGTTGATATTTAATACCTCATAAATTACGTCGCACGAAGCTTTACAACAGAGAATGACGCAGGAGTACATAAACTTCTTCACGAAGGAGACATTCAATGCAGGTTTAACTCACTTTGGCGATAATTCATACAGGGCTTACCTGTCTATCGTGTAACCGGGCCTCGTTGCATCAGTTGTTAAATACCTCGTGCATGATGGATGAGAGTAGTGTCTTCTGGTGGTTAGCAGCGGCACCAGTTCAACCCCTCCGGTTAATTTGTACACTTGCATTTCTTCGTTGTATCCGTCACGATGGGGAATTGGTGGTGACGGGGGGTGAGGGTCGGGAGTGAGCCCTAGAGGTGAATAATTAAGATGAATTCATTATTTGACGATGAATTCTGTGAATGAATGACTGAACACAATCAAATGCTGAAATTCAAGAGCTGCTGTGCACTTTTTTCTATTAATTTCTCATTCATCTAAAGAATAAATCATTTTTCGAACGAATTTTCTTTCGGATTCATTGATTATCAAAATGATTCCATAATTGATGCGATTTTTATATTCCTTCTCTCCTTCATCCGATTTATTTGATGATTCAATATCTTGAAATATTAATCATTTCGTTCGAATGAAGGAGTCATGTTATGCATTCATTTTAGATGTCAAATTAAAGCTTAAAAATTTCAAACTTATTGTGAATTACTGGGGGGTTTTTACTGATGCAATAAAAATAATTTAATAATTTAATAATGAATATTATTAAAGCATATTTATAAATACACTTTTAATGAATAAATTCATTGCTCATAATAATAGGTGATTTTCGAAGAAAAAAATTTTCTTTTCTTTAGTTTTTCATTTTTTTAAGAGTTATCCATTATCAAGATGACTCCATTACTGGCGAGATTTTCCCATTCTTTCTCTCCTCCCGATTCATTTAATAATTCAATATCTTGGAATATTAATTATGCCATTAGAATGAAGGAATAATCAATATGAATCCTGTTTAATTTTATTCTGAAAATGATAACTGAATTAATTCACCCAAATTTACCTTTCCTAGCGCGTTCATCAAAGAATTTATTAGGATCGGTCAATGCTAGTGGGTCGATAACATCTTTCCCACGGACTCGAGTTAGAAATGATCCCGTCGTCCACCCCTGAAACAAGAGACAAGAAATTACGTGGCATCCCTAATATAGTATGATGAAATTTTCGTCCGCATATTGTTGCATATTTTTACTGACGCACACTGCCACTCCTGAGAGCATCCTCAGCCATAACATTAATTAACAACTGTGCCCTCAACGTATTCCAACACCGACTTTCAACTTTGTTTCTGGATAAAAAATTTAGAAAAAAAATAGTCCATTAAAAAAGAAAGTCTGAGGGGGAATTTCACTGTAAAACTTTTTCCTTTTAAATTTAGTAGCAGCAAGAAGGGGAATGAAGGGTTTAATTAGATGTGCTTCTGGATGCACGAGAATCTCATAAGTTTTGCTAGAGCAAAGGGGGAGTTTAGTAATATCGAGGTAATTTTTGATAAGCAATATTAGCTGGAGTTATCTCCGCTGAAAATTGAGGGGATTTTCGACAGCTTTAGAAAATCTTGAGGCCAATAAACTTTTATTTAATCTTTGAATTTTAATTATATCTTCTTTATTTAGTTATGTCTAATCAATTTGATATAATTTAATTTTTCACGTAATTTAATTTTCTTTATTTAATTAATTCAGTAACAAAGTCGTGAAACGGTTCAAGTCGATTTTGACTATTGGCCACTTTTCAATGAATATCTCGAAATCTAAGGGAGATAGTAAAATTCTTATAATGGCCTTTTTTGTAGAGGGCATTAAGGGTTATAAAAAAGGTCATTATAAAAATTTCGCTATCCCCCTTAGATTCGGAGATATTCCTCGAAAGCTCAGCTTGAAATTATAAGCAGTGTACAATGTGTTCAGTGTTACAATTATGATTGACATTGTAACACTCATTACTCATTGATAATTTTGATAATATCACAGAACGTATCACAAAAGTATTTTATTCATTCAAATAATGATTACGCGTTGAAATTTTCAATGCAGAGATTTTTTCTACAGAAATTGTCGAAATTCTTTCCAGGAAAAACCTCTAGAATTCCCCGTAAAATGGCCCTATCCTCGCACAATTCATCTAAAATGCCAATCATGCTACGCAAACACGAATGTGCGTACCATGGACTCGAGGAATCGTACACCGAGCATCCTTGGATCTCTCCATGGCGCACCACCAGGACCAGGACGTCCCCATGGGTAGTATTGCCTCGCCAGCTAAGCAAACATGTGATACCACTGAATTAAATAAACTAAAACCGAATGAAGGGAAATTATACTTGAAGATATGGCTTTTATTTAAGGACATTCAGGGGGTAGAGTCCTTGCAATGAAATGGAATGTCTGAAAATTCGATTTTGAAACATTTTAAATACGGAATGTGACGGAAAAGAATTGGCGAAAAACTGATAGAATTGAAGGGAGAAAATTTTTCTAGAAAAACTCTCGTGCGTCACCACAAAAATTATGATGCCTCAATAATTTTTCCAAGTGCGGAAATTATGACGCCTTTATGGTGCCAGCATATGAATTTTTCTAGAAAATTTTTCTCAGTGTTGATTAGAGTTGAATCAAGCATTTTTCGACTTGAATGAAGTCGTTACGTGCTATTTTAAACGGGTAGATTTTTCTGTCTGAATCAATCCGTCTGTTTCTACTTCAATGAAGATAAGTGACGCCTTGAAACCTTTCTTTTTCAAATGATCTAATATCCAGTAAAATATGTAAAATCAAGTCTAAAACTACTTGAATTATAGATTATATATTTGTATTGATCCAGTTAAAGAGCTTGTAAAATTTATGTCAAGGAATTTCCATTCACAATATCCCGATAGAATAATTTTGATGGAAAAATCAGTATCTACCAATTTTCTTCTGTGGAACAGTTCTATTGATAAGACATGCGGAATTTTCCACTGGAATTGTCAAAAAACCGATAGAATTAGATTAAAGTTAGATCAAGTATTTGTCGACTTGAATCAAGTATTATCCGCCTTGAATGGATAGATTTTTCCGTCATCTGTTTCTACTTCAATTGAAATAGGTGACGCCTTGAAACCTTTCCTTTTCAAATGATGTAATTTCGAATAAAACAAGTAAAATGGAATCCAAAACCATTTGAATTATAAATTTTGTTTTTTTATTCGGTGAAAAAAATTGAAAAATTTATATCAGGGAATTTTTATTCACAATATCTCAATGGGATAATTTTGATTGAGTTAGATTTTTCTGGCTGAATGAACCCGTCAGTTTCTACTTGAATGGAGTAAGTGACGACTTGATACTTTTCTTCTTCAAATAATCCAATATCTAGTGAAACTGGTGAAATCAAGTATAAAACCACTTGAATTATATTTTATCTATGGAATTTTCGTTAAGGGAAGTGCTGAATCCGAATCCGACGTCGATTTTCACATATTGTGATCATGTCTATTTATTTATAACGTTTTAATTGTTTAATCGATCATATCATGGAAACGGTTGCAGATAGAGAAAAAAATTTCAAACAAAAGATGTTTGTTATGTAAAAATACACATTTTTATCATATAACTTTTTTTCCTAACTGCGATAGATAAAGAGATATCTTGCGCGGATGTTGGGGCGCTCCGATGCGTTTATTGGCAAACTCGATCGAGATAGAGGAGAATTGAATTCCGCAGGATGAAATTCATATATTTTTCCACATATACAAATTTTTTGTCATTGAGCACAGTGAATACCGCAAATCTATTTCCATAGACTTATCAATCTTAGTTTCTTGAAGGACAGATTTGAACTTCAGCTCTTAATCATTAAAATCGCAGAAGATGGACGAAAAATTCCATGGAGATTCGCCGAAATCTACATTTTAGGGCTTACTTCGACTTGATTATTGACTTCTCTCGATATTCATCAACTATTCAATTCCTTCCTAGGCGATTCCACGTGAAACCGGGAGTCGAAAAAAATCGATGATACCGATTTTGTGCAGTAGGAATCAAAGGGGATAGGAATTTTTTTTACAAGCGAGAAATAAAACGCAAAATTTAAAAAAAAACATGACTTGTTCAACAAATTTTATCTTGGACTGAAATTTCAACTGAAGCCTTATCTCATGATTTAGAATTGAGAAAAAAATCATGAACAAAATCGGAATTCAATTTGTAAAAATAACTAGTATTTGCAAGAAAAATTATAATCTGACAATAATGAGTATTTTTTTGAATCAATGCAGCTAGTACACGATTAATTTCCATTTTCACTCTAAAATATGCCATAAAATACTTTGTTGGTAGTATTAAATTTTCGTAATTTTTTTCAAATTTCCCAGTAGGGGCCTTCGTCAATCAACTTAGAAAATTCATAAAAAATTGATGGATCGAATGACAAATCATCGATTATATGTCAAATTCAATGGTGAACATTTTTCGGTTGAACCATTCTCCTCTATCTCGATCGAGTTTGCCAATGAACGCATCGGAGCGCCCCAACATCCGCGCAAGTGTTAACGTCCTGCCCACTTCCCTCCCATCCATGATAACTCTTTATCTATCGCAGTTAGAAGAAAAATGAAACGAATCTGAGATGATCAGGGTTTAAACCGGTCGAATTGACATGGAATGCCCCATATACAAATCAGCATCTCTCAATTTTTTTCTATCGAACATTTCTATTCATGAGACATGTCTACAAACTACGGAATTTTTCATTGAGGGAGGGTAGGGCAAAACGGACCCCTAGGGCAAAACGGACCACTGACAGAAAATTCACAATTTTTGTTTTTTTTTCTTTCCTTCAAATCAGGAACACAGAGTGTGTTGAATTAAAAGTGAGTCTCTTGAATCATAACCATCGCAGGGGTTTTATATACAGGAAGTGTCGTCACATTTCTAGGCATTTTCACCCAAAATTAAGAAATCGAAAAAAATCACGATTACAAATCTTCCATTCGGAAGCAAAAACAAAAAATATCAATTTTCTCTCATGGGTTCGTTTTGCCTTAGGGGTCCGTTTTACCCGCCTGGTCCGTTTTGCCATACCCTAGAATTGGCGAACAACCAATAGAATTAAATTAAAGTTGGATCAAGTAATTGTCGGCGTGAATCAAGCATTTTCTGACTTGAACAAACTCATTACGTACTATTTTAACAGAGAGATTCGTCTGGCTAAACCAATCCGTCTGTATCTACTTCAATTAAGACAGGTGACGACTGCACATTTTTTCTTTTTCAGATGATCCAATAACGAGTCAAAAATTAATAGATATTGATTGCATAACTTAACGCATTAATCTTTAATACCGGCCGAGACACTATAATTTAAAATATCAAAGAAAACAAATTTTTTGACGATAAATCAACTCGAGAGGCACTCCTGTCAAAGTTTCTACATTTATCAAATAAATGTAAATAAATTTTTTTTGATACTAGCTGTTAAGCAATGTAAATATTACGAACAATAATATTTTTTCATGTTTTTTTATCCAGTTAAATAACTTGAATAATGTTTGTCAAGGAATATTCATTTAAAATATCTCAATATAATAAAAGCAAATATCTCATAATATCTCAATTTTATATCTCATATATTTATATAAAATAATTTACATAGACAAATCATAATCCTTCAATTTTCTTCTATCGAACATTTCCTATCGAACATTTATATTCATAAGGCATGCCTAGAAACAGCGCAATTTTTCCTTAGGATTGGCGAAAAACCAATAGAATTCTCATAGAATATTCCAGCGAATACGTTAAAGGTTTTCTATTAAATTTTTTTCGCGTGTTCAAAGATATTCTCACCCCGTGAATGGAATTCAACGAAAACCAATTTTTTTGCAGCGACTGTTCCACTTAGATACCCTCAATGAAGTTTCCACTGAACCTTCTCACAATACATGACCTCAAGAACCAATCATACTGTCCAACGTCACTGACCACGAACTCACGCATGAGCAATATCTGTCATAATATTTGAATAGACCGGAATGTCATGGGGATGACGTGGTCTTAGTGCTCAGTTATTCCAGTCACGAAATGCAAATGGTGATAACGATGTGTATGCACCTATATTCGTGCCTGAAAGGCTTAAAGCAGACTTTCGCGTGTTCCCAGCAATACCTAATGGGACGCTGGTAAGACAGTGAGTGTATCTGGAGGTGACGACGAGGGAACACGAAGATTATGATTGCAGTTTGTGAGGTAATGAGGATGGCTATGACTCGAGGAGAATTTCAATCTTAAGGATAGCCAAGTGCTTTGGCTATTTTTTCGCCAGTGAAATGCTTTTCTACGTTTGCAGTGCAAGAGCATAGCTCTCATTTGAGCCCCATTTGATCCTAAGCTTCCGGACATTTCACAACTATTTTATTATTTAAACTTTGCTGGTCTGAATTTAAATCTGAAAAGATTAGAAAGTTCACGTTTGGAGGAAGATTGATGAAATGATTAAAAAATTTCAATTTCTGAAAATTACGAGCTTTCTTTATAAATAATTTATAAGCAATCAATTTTCCACCATAAAAATTATTTGCTTGAAATCATAATAAATTTATTCATATCCAGAATTTTAACAGAAATCATGCTTAAAAAAATAAGGTTATTTGGAAAGTTTAAACACTTTCAATTATTCATTTGTAAGCAACGAATGCTTTAATAAATAATAATTCTGTACAAATTGTAATTTGAATGGTGCTGAATATTCAAGATTTTATTTCAAATTTTTTACATTTGTTTTTGAGCATTTGAAACATTTTAAAAATCGGAAAAACAATCGGAAAGTTTACTTTTGGAGAAAGATTGATGAAATAATTAAAAACTTGCAATGTTTAAAAATTACGAGCAGTTTTTATAAATAATTTATAAACAATCAATTTTCCATCATAAAAATCATTTGTTCGAAATCATAACAAATTTATTCATATTCAGAATTTCACCAGAAATCGATTTCCAGCCAAAAAAATGAGATTTCCGGAAGTTTAAAGAATTTCAATTATTTATTTATAAACAATGAATGTTTAAAAAATAATAATTCTGTGCAAATTGTAATTTGAATGACGCTAACTATTTATGACTTTATCAAAATTTTCTCACGCAATTCAAGTGACAAATTTGATTTGGGAAAAAAATATTCTTTCCTCGTCAATGTGTTCTTTCTATGATATAAACTTATGGAGTTTTTAAAATTAATTTCAGTAATTTTTTATGGAATGCAAGGTAAATTTTACAGTTTCGCCACAAATACCCTGGCGTTCAGTAAATTTTCCCGGGCTTTCGGAGAAAAATTCACTATTTGTCTCGTACTTTTTCCCTGATCTAGGGTGAAAAAGTGCTGAAAATCGAGTTCGCTCCACGATTACTTGACTTGTTCGGTAATTTTTCTCTAAACTTTTTCTCACCTTTCTCCTTTCTGCAATTACGAAGGAAAATTGACTTAACCCGCCGTCCTAATCTGAAATTATGCATTTGATTTCGTTCCGATGATCACCGGAACTGACTGAATTTTCCTATTAAATCAAAATCCAAATATCCTCCTTTAATTGCGTTCCACATTGTGTGTATTATTTTATGAACACTTCCGATGTCCAATTATCTATTGCTTCCGGTTAAAACACATATTCCAATTCATCAAACAACAAACATTATTAATCAATATTTCGAAATGGTCGCAGTATAAATAGACCCGCATTTCGGAATGATAGTTAATTACAGCGACTTGTTTTGAAATGTTTGACAGGAGAATCGATGCGGCATGTACAGCTATGTACGTAGGCTAAAACCCCAGGTGTATCGTGCAGATTGGCTCGGCTATTTTGGCGACTGGTATATGAAAGCAGCACAGAGACCCATGCAATCACGCATCCATCTAGTCTCAAGCCCCCTGTATAAACTACACCAGCACACATATGCCACCATCTCAATCCAAAATTCCCTCGGCTTAGGATGCAACATTTGCACGTATTGTTGCTTTGCATGCGACCTTCGAATTGATCGGAGGCATCATAGAAAGGGCATGTGTGTGATAAATCAAATCTAGACCTTGTACTGATTGAGGGATGGTGATAAGCGTAATGAAGGGGTGATTAGTTTTTACGAGGGGGAAAAAATTAAGTGGAATGGTAATTTCTGCGGGGGAACTGGCTTTAATGGAGCATTTAAATATTTCATTTAGAATGGATCAGATTTTTTTTTCAGTCAAATATCAAGTGCTTTTTCAGGCTTTTGTTCATTCATGAGGCTAAATGGATTCTATGTGCTGCAGTTTTTTCTTTCTTTGAAGTTCTTTTAACATTTATAGTTGAACCTCTATTAGAGAATGGGTCATCGAATATTTTGCGTGGATTTTATTATTCGAATTGTTAGGATGTGACATTTATTCTTCATTTTAGGGGGAGACCAAGGTGAAATTTAAAAATTGCAGGGGATTGTCTCTATCGTGGTCATTTTTTACACTCAAAAAATTTTTTTTCAATTTTTCTAATACAAATTGGTTGATTGGCGAATGCATCTTTTTAAAGTTTTGTTCATTCTATTCTTCTTTTCTTCTCATTAAGAGAATAAAAAAAAATTAGAAAATTTGAGCAGAGAAAATTCTATAAAAAATATCTCAATAGAATAAGTTGTCTAGAAAAATTGAATTCTTTCAACTTTTTCTGTGGAATATTTTCCATTGAACATGTCAATAGAACTGTCTAGCGAATTCGCTAGGTTTTTCTATTAAATATTTTCATCCTTGTACATCCGAATTTTTTAATCTGTGCATTAATTATCTTTTGATTGTTTCTCTCGTGTCCAGGTCAGGAAACCGAATGGATAGCATACACTGAGAGAACAGATTACTTTTGACAAAGATGATTTCCTTGACACAAGAAAATGTTCTCTTGTCAATTTCTAGAATCGTGAAATCTCCTGGTAAATAATTATGTGGTCACACTGTGCGAAAGAAGTCTTTCAACATGCAGATGAGATTCTCTTGTCCCGAGAAAATTTTGAAGTGTTAGTATAAGTCTTCCTGTAAATTCATATAGTTTGCGGTGTGGGAATTCGGTAAAGGGTAGATGGGTTTTGTAACGTATAGCACTCGGAATTGATATATGTGGACATCCACATGAAAAGGGCCCACTTTGACGGTATTGGAGTTATGTATGTTCCGATAATCTTGATCAGATTTCTCACATTTTGAGCCCAAAATCAACCCGATAGAATGAAAACTGACGTCAGTATAGACGATCAAAAAAACAATTTAACATTGGTTTAAATGGGAGATGTGGAGAGAAAAACGTGAATATCTCGGAAACTAGATGCGACAAAGTGGGCCCTTTTCACGTGGACGTACACATATATCGAATTAGATTTATTCACAGCAAACGTAACTAGGTTCACACCATGAGAGCTGGAACGAGAGTGTGCTCTCGCGACAGCGGTATTAATCATCCGACCGAGGATGTCCGAATTATTACGAATCGTCACGAGGTGTTGTGGTAAGGTATTCGGTTGCTGAGCCGAGCCGGAACACAATACATTGAAATAATTGGAAATAAATATATGAGTAGCTTCGCTACATGCGGTACATTTAGAATTTAATGGATTGTGAGAATTTACACTTTCCCTATCTGATCACTCATCATCTCCAACTGAGGAATTCTTGTTTCGATTGCACGACGAACACCTTCATTATCAATTCAAGTGTATAGAAAATTGATCTCAAGTGTTGTGCTCTTTGTGTGAGATTTTATGTAATCAAAGTCCTGATGAAAAAAATTCTAAATATAACGCAAACTACATGAATTTATGGGAAGAACATCATTTCTAGACTTGAGAACACTTAAAAATTCTCCCGGGACAACACGGAAAAAATATAAAATTATTTTTTACTATGTGAACATAGTAAGCGAGGACGATACTCATCACACTCAAAATTTACTTTTGAACATAGTAAAAATTGCAAGTCAGCATAGTAGAAAGTTGTAGAATAAAAGTAAAATTTAATTTGAGACGAGTAAAAGTTCGGTTAAGATATATCAAATTTAAAAATTGTTTCGGTATGGTCCTCAATTACTATGTTCACATTGTAATTTTTAATTTTATATTCTCTCCGTGAAGAGAATCTGATTCTGTTGGAAAACTTTCTTCTCTCAGTCTGAAAACGAAATTATTTATCAGGGGATTTCACGATTTTTACAATTGACGAGAAACCATTTTTTTGTATCAAGTAAATCTTCTTTGTCACTAGTAGTTTTTTTTCTCAGAATAATATCGGAATTTTTTCTCGAAATAATATAAAGATTATACGTATCTCTCGGTAAAATACCTTCACTTTAATTTCGAAGCTTTTTAAAGTTTTGAACGGGATCGCACTCTTTTAGCCACTATCAGAAAAAATATAACTGCAACCTCATCCATTTTCAATATTTCCAGCTTGACGTTGGTGTTGCAGAGACTTCTACAATACGAACAGTCAGAGAGGCTGGGAAAGCAATATTATTTTTCCATTTCCCATGATTTGGAGGGGAGATACGGTGTACAAAAGAGTCTCTGACCCACATTGGGACAGAATGAAACACGAGCCTACGATTTTAATTCATTTATGTAATTTTTTTTCGTATCAAATTGATCTGTAGAAATAAACAGAGCGAGGGTCACTCCAAACCTTGAGTTATTAGTTGAATTTTTGTAATCATCAAATTCATTAATGTATAAGGGGTGTTCAGTAGAAAATTTCTTAGAATGTAGTACGACTTTTCGTTACAATTCGTACGAAAAAATTTCATGGAAAAGTCTGGCGAATTCGCTAGAAAATTTGACGAAATTTCTATTGAATTTTCAATAATTGTTTGTCCATTAGTTTCTGTTGAGATATTTTCTGTAGAAATTCTTCGGCTTCAATTTTCTAATCATTTTTTTGTTTGATTTTTTTAATGAAAAGAGAAAGAAAATAGAATGGAATCACGTAAAAAATTCATGTCGAGGCATTCCTATAGAAAATGTTTCAATAGAAAGTTGAAGTTCTACTGATTTTTTCTATAGAATCGTTTCTATTGGATATGTTCTATTTAGAAAATGCACAATAATAATTCATAATCAATAGAACGCGCAATAGAATTGGTAAAATTTAACTTTTTTCCTTGGCCCAATTTTTCTAATTTTTTTGATTTGATTTGTTTCATAAACAAAGAGGAAAAAGAGAATGGAAAAAATCTCTCATGTTTTTTCCATAACATAATTTCAGTTGGACATTTTCTTTTGAAGAACGCGCAATAAAGCTGCAGAATTCTTCTATAAAATCGGCCAAAACCTAATAAAAATCCAATAGAATTTTTTATCGCATTTACTAGGTATATGAAAAAAAAAATTGCGACTTGGTAATAAACTAGTATTTTTTAAATGTTTCTAACACCCCACACGTATGAAAAAATCGTATAGAAAGTTTCTATACGATTTGCGTATAGAATTTCTATAGGTTTTTCGTATATGATATTCGGATATTTCTATACAAAAATTCCCTATACGGATTATTTCTATACGAATTCGTGTAGAAATTCGTATAGAAATGAACCGTATAGGAAATTTTCGTATAGAAATATCCGAATATCATATACGAAAAACCTATAGAAATGTTATACACAGTCCGTATAGAAAGATTCTATACGATTTTTTCCTACGTGCACTATTCCAAGATTTTCATAAAATGAAAAAAACAATCGAAAGACACTCATTCTGTGACTGCAAATAATCCACCATTTAATTAAGATAAATATATATCTTTCATCTCTGAAATACCCTCAATTTTACCTGACCATGTCCACTGCTTCTGGGTAACTCCAACGGCTCAAGATGGACGTTCTTCTTCCTCAAAGCTCTCTCACAGGGCGCCCCACCCCCCGGCTTGCCCCAGGGCGAGTAGCTAGCCTGCATCTGCCGCAACTGGGAACCGTTTATCAAAGCATGATGTCATTAATATCGATTCCATTACCTAAAGTGAAGGAATAATGGGAGAGGAAGTGTCTTGTATCGTTTAGCCATGGCGACAGTAGAACCCCTGTCATTAATCAAGGCACTATAACTTCTGTTAGCCCATCATACAAAGAGATCATACAAAACTTTTAAAAAATGGTGGGGCTAAATGAACATGTTAAATCTTCAATATCATCTGATCTAACGATATGATTCGCATGAATTCCGTCACAACAAATGAAAGATAATTTTTCACACCTGGAAAATTGCTTTGCTCACGACATAGTGAAAATATTTTTGATAATAAATTATCCATTTGTCCCCGAATGGAATTTCTATGATAATGTAGTTTAAATTGAATTCAATGATTGATTGAATTCTACATCGCGTCAATTTTGGCGGTCAATATTATCCCACCGTTGGTAGCCAACATTACCTTAACGTTGCCAATCAACATTACCTTAACGTTGCCAGTCAACATTGTCTCAACGTTGACAGCCAACATTGCCCCAAAGTGGACATTGTCTCAACATTACCTTAACGTTGGCAGCCAACATTAACTTAACGTTGGCAGCTAACATTACCTTAACGTTGACGGCCAGCATTAACTCAACATTGACAGCTAACATTGTCCCACCGTTGGCAACCAACATTGTCCCAACGTTGACAGCCAACATTAGCTCAAATTTGGCGGCCAACATTGCCGCAACGTGAGTAGCCAATTGCCCCAACATTGGCAACCAATATCACCTTAACGTTAGAAGCCAACATTGCCCCAACGTTGACAATCAACATTGCCCCAAAGTTGACATTGTCTCAACATTATCTTAACGTTGGTAGCCAACATTACCTTAATGTGGGCAGCCGACATTGCCCCAATTTTTGTAGCCAATAGCCCCGACATTGGCAGTCATCATTGCTCCAACGTTGGCAGTCAACATGACTTTAATATTGACAACCAACATTGTCTCGACGGTGGCGGCCAACATTGCCCCAACATTACTTCAACATTGATAGCCAGCATTACCTTCTTAACGTTAAAAAAAAAAAAAAATTTTGCATTCGACGAATACAATGCTTCCATTCGGAAGCAGTTGTCGAAAATATATCGCTAAGAACCTCATCATTCCATCAATAACATCCTCTACATACCATTCTGCCCACCCTCCTTTATCAATTCCCCTCAAGGTAAAGATGTTCCCCATACGCACGTACAATCAACATGTTTCTATATCTGTCCCACCCCTTTAAGTACACACTTGTGCATTGTTCTACACGATGTACAAATTGATCGTAGCACTAGGCAGTTGTTAGCATAATTTCAAGAGCTCACGCAAAGCCCCAGATGCCCGATTTGTCTCGAGAGAATTCCAATGCCTGACACAATCCTCTTGAATTCAAATTTAATTGGCCAACTGAGCATTTCAGAACGGGATTCACGAGCTGTGATTCAAAAAGAATTATCGAAGACATTTGGCAAATTCCAGAAAAATATTCCTTTTTTTTTATCGTGATCTCCGGCCATTAGGATCGAACTTTAGAGTCGTTTGTCTTCATTTTTCGATGGTGATGCTTGCAGGGAGACAGATGGAGAGAATTTTTCCTCGGTATCGATTATTGTAGTTGGCTTAAAAGACAATGTGCATAAAACTGATACTATTTATAACTCAACTGAAGGATGATACTGTTATATAGGTATGGTTAACCAACGATCAAACTTCTGGATATTTTTTGCAATAAATCACGAGGTAACGAGAGCAAAAGCAAGGGATTTATTTTGAGCTATTCAGGTTTTTACAATTTCACAAATATTGAGATTATTTTTTATTACAGAAAATTTTTTCTGTAGGGCTAGAAAAACTAATAGTCTTTTCCGAATAAATTCAATATTTTATTGAATTTCCTCAATAAAAACAAAAAAAGTGGAAATTTTTTTTCCTGTTTATTATCCTATGGGAAGCATGATCGGGGATAAGATTTAATCGGAAAAGAACTTGTCGGCTGATTTGAGAGCTTACCTACACTGTTGGAAATTTTTTGAAAATTAAGTAATAATTGCGCTTGAATTCTCAACGTTGTGAATTTGAATTTAATTTAAGATCAAATCGTTCCTGAAATGTCTCATTCAGGTTGAAAATTCAGGGAAATTGTTAATTGAATTTTCAAATTATTTAATAATTTTTCATTATCGTGTGAATGAGTCATTGTTACAAATTTCAAGATTTTTTACTTGAAATTTCAGGAGTAATTTTCTAACTGTGTATGAGACCCTTTCCTCGCCGATCCACTCTCTAGGGGCTCCGACAATATTTCAGAATATTTTAGACTTTTCTGTCATTTATCACCTAAAAATGTGGATTTCAACATGAAAAAAATAGGACCGCCGTAAGGCGGGCCACCAAACGCTCTAGTCCACTGAAAATATGAACATGAATGAACACGTACTTCACGCTGTTCCCGATGCTTCTGATGCTGCAACTCCGCCTTTCGTTTCTTCCACATGGTAGTGCCCTCCTGAACCACCCGACGTTCCTGCTCCTTGCGAACATGCTCCACCACCTCCGGATTGTACGTTGTCTCCAGGCATTCAGCCATTTTCCAATGCCCACCCTCTACTTATTTCGTTTGGGCGAGTAGAAATAACAGAGATAGTCAGCCACTCATGAGTGGGCACTCTGAAAAATCCCGGGGTTGGTTTTTATTTCTCCCTTTCAGAGCTTAATCTTTTTCCACGGAGGTTCTAATCACTCGCACAGTGTCCTGGGAGTCCTGTGGATTAAGAAATTACGGGAGTTGTTGATGAAAACTTAAATTGAAATGAACATAATTATTGATTCTTCGGGGATATCGTCCGAGGGTTGTCCGAAATTGAGTGAGAAATGAAATTCTACTGATTTTTTCCATAAAATAGTTTTTATTGGATATTTTCTACTGAAAACGGGCAGTAAAGCCGCAGAAAAATCAATAGAATTTCTGAGTTTTTTATTAAATGTAATCTGTACACCGAGAGAAAAACAAACACGTTTTGAAACAGGTCATGTTTGGGCCAACAAAATCGCTAGTTGAAAATTGCAAAAAAAAACATGAATAATTGTTCTGCTTTCGACAGGAAAGAAATATTTGGCTGAAGAGGCGGATAATTCACACCACACGGTGCCTTTGCAGGATGACAATATCTCATATAGAGAAAAATTTAGCAACAAATATCTTGTCCCTAAGTTACAAGATTGTTATCATATCATTATTACTGTTTCATTTAAGGGTTCATTTCTTGCCGGTGATTATTAGACAGCCGAAACGAGAAACTACTATCCCTTGTTTCACATAAAACAAATATTTTTCAAGCGCAAAATACGTATGGGAGTATTGAATATCGAAGGAGTAGCACTAGAAATGACATTTCTTGCGTGTATAGAGGATGCCATTTTTGTTTAACTACTAAATCTATTTTTACGACAAAAAATTTTCATTCCGGCGCACGCTCTCCATGTTTGGCACAAAAAAATCCTGTTTTGATAATTTTCAAAAAACTATTTTCTTAGCACAAGTAAGACTTGTTTGAGAACTTTGTCGTTTTTCTCTCAGTGTAAGATTTAACCATTTTCAATCATCAAATTTGTAAATTAAATTGCGTGAGAAATATTTGAAAAAAATCATGAATATTCAGCGTCATTTAAATTACAATTTGCACGGAATTATTATTTTTTAAACATTCGTTGCTTATAAATAAATGATTGAAATTGCTTACATTTTCGGAAGCCTTATTTATTTAGGCATGAAATCGATTTCTGGGGAAATGAATATGAATATGAATAAATTTGCTACGATTCTGAACAAATGATTTTTATTATGAGGAATTGATTGTTTATAAATTATTAATAGAAAATACTCATTTTTTTCAAAAATTGCACTTTCCAACTTATTTCATCAATCTTCAAAAGTAAACTTTCTAATTTGCTTTCAGATTTTTCAAATGTTTTCTAACGGTTCAATATCGAGATTTAAATTCAGACCTGCAAAATTTAAATAATAAAATCATTGTAAAATGTCCGAAAACTTAGGGTCAAAAAGCGCCTCAAATGAATGCTCTGATTTTCGACTACAAAAGTAGAAAAGCATTTCACTGGAGAAAAAACAGCCAAATCCAAAATAGCCAATAAACCCATTTTGAACTCTTTCATTAAAAACTAAACCATTTATTAAATCCCCAAAAACCGATTTCAAATCAAATCGAGTTCCCCAACAACTAATTACAATTCGGAATAATTTAAAAAATCGAATTGTGTTCATACAACTCTAAATGTGCCAGAAGTTTCAAACATCCAACAAAACTGGGAGAATGAAAAATTATCCATTCGCTGGTGAATACAGGAGTTACCTGGTTCCCACTGAAATTTTTCAATTGAAATTTTTTAATTGGAAATTTCAATTGAAAAAGTTATTTTGAAATCGTAAAGTCACTGCGTACACTGAACTAGACTCCTCAGCGGTGGTGAAGCACACGCGACTGTCGTCTCTCCCTCAGGTTCAAGCTCGTTTCAACTCAGTTAATATGAAGAAGAAATAGAGCGAGACATTGGTATTCATTCGTGATGTCGCTTCGCTCCGGAATACCGTTACACTGAAGTAGTCAACCCCGAGGGTGTTCCAACCAAACTCCACTCACGTTGTGAAACCAGCACTCATACACCTGTTATATGTACAGTGCTGGGGGGTTGTGTATTTTGTGACCTTCGGACCTTTCAGACATCACGCCATGATCAATTCAGGTCGATTCTCATATTGATAGCACAGATCCATCTGGAATGAGACCTTCGGGTGGAATAAAATGGAGAGAGAGGATGACAAATACTAATGACGCCTCTAGAATAGAAAATAGTGAACAATGGAAATAGTTCTTGGGCATAAAGTCAGCCCTTATCGATTGCGGATTACTGAATACAATGTTATTTTTCTCATCCTTTCATTCGGTTTTTCGGTGGTACCAATTGATCATGCATGTGGAATACGAATAACTGGGGTCGATACGATAAAGTGAGTAAAAAATGCGCTCAAGTCACGCGATTTTTTTTTCGATTTTATCCTTTAGTCATTCACATTGTATCTTCGGGAATGGTTTATTTTTGGATTTAGTAGGGTTCGCTTTCTTATGTTGAGTATTTGGTTTTGAGAGTGAATCGAAGGTTTCACCCGCACGTACGACAAAATTGCGAAGAGAAACTAGTCAATTCGATAGAAAGCTCAATTGGATTTTTGTTGAACTTCTAGTGAAAATTCTATTAGTGTTTGTCGGTGCTAGTGATGATGACGTCAATAGAATTTTATCTTTCTATAGGAATTCTGCGACATGAATTTTCTAATTTCTTCCCCATTCTATTTTCCTTTTCTTATTTTCATTTAAAAAATCAACCAAGACTTAGATAATTTGAACTTAGGATTTTCTATAGAAAATCTATCAATATTATAAAAATCCAAATTGATTTCTGGTGATGAAAATTTGGTACTCGAAATTAAGACTCCAAAATTAGGGCTCACAAGGGTCAAAATAAGTGGCACGAGGGTAAGAATAAGGGCCGCGAGGAGCAGCATAAGAGCCGCGAGGGTCGGAATAAGGATCGTGAGAGTCAGAATAAGGGTTACAAGGATCAGATTAAGGGTCACAAGGATCAGAATAAGGATCATGGAGGTCATATGGCGGTTGGCGAGGGGAGCGAGCATGGGCCGTAGCCACCTACTATTTCAATAAAATAAGTGGTGTAGAAACATCGAATTCTGTTGATTCTTACTACAGAATATTTTCCATTAAGCATTTCTATTGTAAAAAAAGGGCAGATAAGCTAGGGAATTTTTTAATTAGTAAGTAAAATGAATAAATATGAATTGAAAATAAATGTTTCTTCCCCCCCCCCCCCNAATCTAATTCAATGTCGCTCTCCCAAAAATTACAAAACCGTTCACAAAATTTCAATTTTGACAACAGAATGATAGTTTTTTCACAAAGTGATTTTCCTCTATTAAATCATCTACTTTAGCAAAAATAATCAATAATTTTGGGAGATGAGAAATCGATGCTGCCCGTTTGCATTTCAAATTTTCCTTCCATTCCTCATCCCTCACGTTCTGACCTATCACAACGTGAGGAACGAACTGCGCATGCGCAGAGAAATACCGGCACATGTCCCAGGAAATTCCGTCGACGTCAATAAGGACAGAATTTCAGTGGCAATCAGTGACACTTCGGTCTAATGACGTGTATCAATCTTTTTGGGTGAACAACGAGACATAAAAAATGAGGGATTTTTTAATTCTTTTATTCTGTGTTATCTTCCTCGTTTCGCAAAAGCCTGAGGCCATGCAACGTCTCGATTCTGTCAGCGATGATGAGTTATTACAGTACATTAAAAATGAGCAGTTTGTTGTGGTATTGTTCAGTAAGTTTCGTATTCTTCGTTCAATTCCGCAACCATATGTTGGCATTTATTTTCTTGATAAAATTGCGAATATACAATAAAATCTGGAGCACTGGTTAGTGTATTTTTTGGAAATTCTTTGGGGTGAATTCACATAACCTCACTAAATAGCTCATTTTTTTCATAAATATGTTTTTGCGTTCGATTGGAAACCTTATTTTTGACCGATTTTTAGATTTTCTAATTTTGATTGCAATTGGTTTAGAATGTTATGAAACGTAAAGAAATTATGTTTTTAGGGCCATGACTGTATGTATCCGACAACTTGGGTTTTGGTGATTAATTTTTAGAAAATTCAATATAAATACGGTGAAATTTGTAGATAAAAATCTGAAATTTTGGCTCATTGTAGCTGTTATTGCGTTCAACTTCGATGCGCTGTTTCAGCCCGATCGGTCCAGTAGTTCCTGAGATATAACAACCTGTTTAAATTTCGTTTTTCCTCAATATCTCAAAAACTACTGCACCGATTTCAATTTTTTTTCAAAATACTCGTCTCGATGGCCTCTATGTAGGTCAATCAGAATATATAGACTCAGTTTGGAGATATTGCCGTTTTTCCGTTCTTCATGAAAAATCTTGTACGCACGATAACTTGAAAAAAAAAGGAGATAGCAAGTTGAAATTTGGTTTGGTCTTAGCTCTTGTAATACTAAAGGTTGGTATTTTGAATGGGCACAATCAACCAGGTGATTCCTGAGATATTTGTGTAAATATATCTCTTTAAATATCTCATGAACTACTTGTCGGATTTCAATTTTTTTTTCAAAATACTCGTCTCGACGGATTCTATCTACATCAATCAAAATATATATATATTCGTTCGTACAAAGTTTCCGAGATATTCCCGTTTTTTCCTTTTTAAAATTTTCTCATTTTTGTACGCACGATATTTTGAGAGAAAATGAAAATAGCCAGTTGAAATTTGGTCTCATTATAGCTCTTATAATAATGAAGGTTAGTATTTAGGGTGGGCTCAACCAGCCGAGCAGTTTCGGAGATATTTAATCTTTTGTGTAAATCTATTTCATTAAAATATTGAATATCTTCCTGTAGACATTCTGTCGCATGTGGTTACGGTTGTATGCCTGTCATAAGAACAGGGAATTCCTACGAATTTCATGAATCTTTTAACAATTTTTAACAACACGTATAGAAAAATTTAATAGAAAACCTTAACGAATTCGCTAGAAATTCGTTGAACCAGCCTTTAAGAAATATAGTTCAATCGAATATAATAATGTGAGACACTATATATTGTGATGAAGACACAAGCGAATACCGACTTGTTTTATTATTTCTCCAGCTAAGAGAGACTGTGAGGAGTGTACCAAATACGAAGCCGAACTCGTCAATTTGAGGGATGATCTGGTGGATAGTCTATCTGCATGGGTCCTCCAAATCGACAACAGTCAATTATTAAAGCTGTACAGTCCTGCCAAGGAGCCTGCCTTAGTCTTCTTCAGGAATGGAATCCCATTGCTTTATGATGGTAAACAACATCTTCAAGATTACATTGAGAGAAAAAAATTTAAAGAAGACACTAGTCCTTTCTGTAAGAATTTTTATTGGAGTTTTATAGCAGTTCTACTGCACTGAGAGAAAAACAAACACGTTGTCAAATAAGTCTTGTTTGGGCCAACAAAATCGCTAGTTGAAAATTGCCAAAAAAGAATTTGTTTGGTTCGAATTTGAAAGTCTCAAACATGAATAATTGTTCTGCTTTCGACAGCAATGAAAGATTTGGCTCAAGAGGCGGATAATTCACACCAGACGGTGCCTTTTCAGGATGAAAATATCTCATAGAGGAAAATTTATCAACGAATGTTTTATCCCCAAGTTACAAGATTGCTATCATATCATTATTATTGTTTCATTTAAGGGTTAATTTCTTGTCTGTGATTATTAGACAGCCGAAACGAAAAACTACTATCCCTTGTTTCGCATAAAACAAAAATTTTTCGGCAGCAAAATACGTATGGAAGTATCGAATAATGAAGGAGTACTGCGAGCAATGACATTTCTTGCATGTACAAAGAATGAAATTTTGTTTAAACTACTTAATCTATTTTTGCGACAAAAATTTTTCATTCCGGCACACTCTCTGCATGTTTGGTATAAAAAAATCCTTTTTTGCTAATTTTCAAAAAACTATTTTCTTGGCACAAGTAAGACTTGGTGGAGAACTTTGTCGTTTTTCTTTCAGTGTAGAGTTCTACGAAAGGAATTCTATTTGCTTAATAAATATTTTCGATAGACAAAATACTAGATTTCCATTTTTTTGTAGGAATTATTCTCCAATAAATTCTCCGATTTTTTTTTCTCATTAAAATTTGAAAAAAACTTGTAAAATTAATGTGAATATGTCTGAATAGAGAATGGAATACTGTAAATAATTCATTAATCTCCATACATATAAGATTCTTTTTCCACTGCATTACATTTGTATTATATTTTTCATAAATAGGAAAATTGAATGATGAGGAAATATTGGAAACATTAGTGGGTAATAAAGAGCCCATAGTGAAGGAATTAACTGACGAGACTTTCGAGCACTTAACGCAGGCGAGTAGTGGAGCTACGACTGGAGACTGGTTTGTCATGTTGTGAGTATCAATTCAATTATGCAATCAATGCATCCTGTTTGATTGTTTATTATTCAAGTTATTTTACTGGCGGTTAAACGCCACATGCCGATTCAGATTTGCAAATAGGTTTTATTCATTTTTTATAATCCTTCATATTCCACTCATCCCTTTTACTAAATCAGGCACTTGAATGAAATTTGCGCTTCGCCATTAAATTTAATCATTCTATCAATCTATAATACAATCTATCTGTTGAAATTAGTAAATCAAACACCTGAATAAAATTAATGCTGATGTCTATCTTGAATTCAACAGCCAGATATTTAAATATGAGGTTTCCTAGGAAATCATTCTTAGCAAAAGAAAAAATAATTCACAGCGAAAAACAAATTGAGAAGATCATCTCTTTTTTTAAGACTTTCAACAATTAATTTACTGTCCAAAAAGTCTAAATATTCAGAGAGTTCTTGGAGAAATCAATACAGGTTAAATGACAATTAAATCGTGTTCTGGAGGCACAATGTAATTAACTACTAATTAGATTCCTCTTTACAACAGCTATAGCAACGACTGCATCGACTGCCAGCGAATGGGTGCAAGATGGGAGTCAGTTGGTGCTAAACTGAAAAATAGAGTTAATGTTGCACGTGTCAATAAACACACGACGGGAGCTTCCACAGCCAGACGGTTCAACGTTTTCAACGTTCCTGAATTTATTCTGTAAGTTATTAATTTGACGCCGTCATGTCGATCATGTTACCACATCACGTTTCCAAAGTGATGGAATTATCTCGATGAAACAGGGATAAAAACTTGGGAGAAGATTCAAATTCAAGAAGGATCTCGACACAAATTCCATTAAAAATGATTCGACGTTTGACATGAACTCTTGTACCCCTCCACGTACAGAATTATTATGTAGTGATTCGTCTCGAATTGCGGAAATGTCGATAGTTAATATATTTGGATTATTTCATTTCTAGATTCCGGCAGGGGAAAATGTACCGTTATCAGATTCCAAAGTATGATATCAGCGCATTTGTCTCATTTGCGAGGGATTGGTACAAAAATGCACAGTCTGAGAGGGTTCCAGTCCCACAGAGTCCATTGTAAGTAAAACAGCAAAAAAAAGGATAGGTTCATTATTTCATAAGTTACAATAATAACTCTCTTGTCTCTTCACCATTTCCACATCCCTCAAACTGTCTCACAATTATCTCATATATGACTATGTAAAACATGTTATTTTTTTCTATTCAACCATATTGTCTATTAACTATCCAAATATTGTCTTATTTATTTGTTTTCTTTGTTTTTCTTTCATTTTCTACACTCCAGTCAATACTTTGGATATAATATGTAAATACCAGTCTGAAGGCCCTCGGGCGATGGCCAGTCACAAATTTCTTGTGACGAATTCCGTTAAAAATAGTGAAAACAAAAAAGATAATAGAACAGGAGAAACTAAGAAATGATGTTTCTTGCATCCGAAACCTTCATTCTAATTAAAAATGTTCAGTAATATTTTATAAACTCAAGAAATGGCAGGGAATATTCATTAAATTGCTCAATTTCAACTATATTACGTTTAATTAGACATGACGAACTCCAGCACAACTAAATAAAAACTATCATTTGCCCATCCAAAGATTCCATCAATAAGAATTATGAAATTTCCAAAAAAAACTATTTAAAAGATTCTCTTCACTCTCTTTCTTATTTTCAGTGACGATCTCACCCAAATGATCGCCAATTTCCTTCGTGAAAATCCCTGGATCATGAAGCTCGCCAGCATCATCATGGGAGTGATGATAATCGTATCAGTTGCCTCTAAACTGAGGAAAAAGTCTGAAACTCCAGAGAAGAAGGAAAAATGAAGAATGAAAAAACACTAATGAAACTTACCGAAATCATGTACATAAAATGTCGATTCTAATTAGTGAGAAAAGGGTAGATGATGTTTTTGTCTCTATTTCTCATTCACTAGAGGATTCTTTCTCATTCCAACTTTTGCAATTTTGTATCAGTAGAAAATATATTCTTTGAGGTCTTAAGTGTGTCTTTACATTCAACTGTGAAGTTATTTCTGGGTGCAATCGATATCTTCCGAGGAGTCCTCTGCATATTCGATTCTGATCTCTATTGATGAGGTCTTTACATTATTCTATAGTTTTAATTCAAACGAATAATCCATTGAGTTCTTTAAAAATCATTTATTCATTATAAACACAAAATAATTGTGAAATATAATTACTAGTTTCCTCAGATCTGGAATGTTTCCAAACTATTGGAATTTAACACACGATCAAGCACACAAATTTATCAAAAACTTTGTGCAAAAATAAATCATTACAGTAATTACAATAATTAAGTATTGAAGTGGTAAAGTGCAATACACGAGTCAATTTCATTTTTTTCATTCAGATTTGAAGTGGGAAAACGAAATAAATCAACTACAATATTGTTATTTGTAGAATGAAAGGAAAATATATTCTGCTGAAGCAATTCTGAGATATTTCGAGAATAATTTGGGAGAATAACTGAAGGAAAATGACATTTTATGATTTTCTATTCTGTTGATTCATCTCGTTACATCGCTTCGTCTCTGAATCGTTCATTCATCTTTCAAACGAGTGATTCTTCGAGAAAATATCAGAATTTTTTTGTAATTGATGATATGATCAATGAAACGTGTTTTTTGACATTTTCTCCTAGAGTTACTCATCGTTAAGATAATTCAAATATTTGTTAAGAATTTATTTGAAAATTTTATTCTAATTCTCATCGTTATAACTGTGATCAGATTTGAATTTTAAATATTGAGAGGATAGCCATGTGCGTAATTCTCAGCCTGGAAACATAAGGGTCGTAGCTTCAAACCCGACCTCCGGCGATTTTTCGCATTTCCTCAAATTTCAAATCATGTTACATATCAGCCGAAAATAAGATATGAAATAACTTCATTGAATTTCACATAAGATGAGAATTGGTCATTAAATTTGAAAATTTTCTGCTTGAAATTCACATAATTTATGAATATGAATCAATTTTAATTTTATATGGATCATATAAAGTTAAAGTTGAATTGCCATTCATTGTTCAGTAATGAAGCGATGAAACGGTTTAAGTCGATGTCGACTATTGGTCAGTTTTTAATAAATATCTCGAAATGTAAGACAGATCTTTGTTAAGATAAAATTTTTGTTAGGAACTTTTTTGCAGAGCGAATAGAGAGCTACAAAATCACGAAAATTTTGCTATCTCTCTTAGATTCGGAGATATTCCTCGAAAACTCAGTTAAGAGCTAAGTTGACTTGAATCGTTTTACCGCTTCGCTACTGTATTGACAAAACCCCATAATCAATAGAAAATCCACGGAGAATATGTCACGTCTAGTCTCTTTCACGTCAAACCATCAGCAGAAAAAATTGTCAAATTGTATTCCACTCCACCACTTCACATCGGCTCAAAGTCCCTCCCAAACCCATAATCACTCCCCTAATTAAATATTATCAACCGAAAGATTGATCCTAAACACAGTCATAGGATTGCCCAAAGCCCCCCTGATATTCCCCTCAAACTTCTCCTGTATCGCCGAGAACTCCATCATATTGTTAGGTTTGGACTCAATCCAGAACTCATCAAACTCATAAAACAGATAGCTATAAAACTGATGAAAGGCACGAATAGTAGGCAGAGTTTTCGCCGAATTATACACATGAGTCTTTGCAGTTCCATCCCTCAGCAACCTCATCGCCATACTAGTGATGTTAATCCCCACAATGGCAAAGGCATACCCATACTTTGGATGATTGGAATGGAGAAGTGCGTGAGCAGCTGCTGTGGGATACTCCTCAGCGAAGTAGACTAGATTCTCCAGTCCCAGGATGCCCATTCCCCTGAAGTCTGTCTTGGGATCGTCCCCCTGGAACCCGATCTCCTGCCACTGCTTGGTCACCCTGTCCTCCAGTGCCTCTCTTGGCTTCAAAAGATTTTTAATAAAATCAAAATCAATCTTCCATCTTTTCTAAGCATGGGCAATCATATGAAATTCAATTGCCATTGACTATTCTCAAAATTCATAATGTCACCTCTAGCGTTTTCCACGTAAAACCATCAACACAATAAATTGTCCAATTATATTCCATTCTACCACTTCACATCGCCCTAAAATCCCTCCCCTAATTAAATATTATCAACCGAAAGATTGATTCTAAACACAGTCATAGGATTGCCCAAAGCCCCCCTGATATTCCCCTCAAACTTCTCCTGTATCGCCGAGAACTCCATCATATTGTTAGGTTTGGACTCAATCCAGAACTCATCAAACTCATAAAACAGATAGCTATAAAACTGATGAAAGGCACGAATAGTAGGCAGAGTTTTCGCCGAATTATACACATGAGTCTTGGCAGTTCCATCCCTCAGCAACCTCATCGCCATGCTAGTGATGTTAATCCCCACAATGGCAAAGGCATACCCATACTTGGGATGATTGGAATGGAGAAGTGCGTGTGCAGCTGCTGTGGGATACTCCTCAGCGAAGTAGACTAGATTCTCCAGTCCCAGGATGCCCATTCCCCTGAAGTCTGTCTTGGGATCGTCCCCCTGGAACCCGATCTCCTGCCACTGCTTGGTCACCCTGTCCTCCAGTGCCTCTCTTGGCTTCAAAAGATTTTTAATAAAATCAAAATCAATCTTCCATCTTTTCTAAGCATGGGCAATCATATGAAATTCAATTGCCATTGACTATTCTCAAAATTCATAATGTCACCTCTAGCGTTTTCCACGTAAAACCATCAACACAATAAATTGTCCAATTATATTCCATTCTACCACTTCACATCGCCCTAAAATCCCTCCCCTAATTAAATATTATCAACCGAAAGATTGATTCTAAACACAGTCATAGGATTGCCCAAAGCCCCCCTGATATTCCCCTCAAACTTCTCCTGTATCGCCGAGAACTCCATCATATTGTTAGGTTTGGACTCAATCCAGAACTCATCAAACTCATAAAACAGATAGCTATAAAACTGATGAAAGGCACGAATAGTAGGCAGAGTTTTCGCCGAATTATACACATGAGTCTTGGCAGTTCCATCCCTCAGCAACCTCATCGCCATACTAGTGATGTTAATCCCCACAATGGCAAAGGCATACCCATACTTTGGATGATTGGAATGGAGAAGTGCGTGAGCAGCTGCTGTGGGATACTCCTCAGCGAAGTAGACTAGATTCTCCAGTCCCAGGATGCCCATTCCCCTGAAGTCTGTCTTGGGATCGTCCCCCTGGAACCCGATCTCCTGCCACTGCTTGGTCACCCTGGCCTCAAGTGGCTCCCCAGGCTTCAGCAGATTCCACAGCTTCAGCAGAGACAGCTCGTGCTCAGGATTCTCCGAGTCGTAGACTGTCTTCCTCGTCTCCTCGCACTCCACCACCAGCTGGTGGTACCCCCAGATGAGCTCAACACACTTCCCAAAGGACTTGGCGAAGTCAGGATGAGCTGTTGGATTGATCTTCTTGGTCAGCAGCACTGTTCGAATGGCTTCCTCGAGGATTTTCCTCTCCGTCCTCGTGTTTATCCCTCGATTGCTCGCTATGTCGTCCAGGTGTGTCACCAGGATCCTGATGTCCGGGTTGCGGGACTGGCGTAGGGACCTCTCCACGCTCAACGCCCGAGGCGCCCCCGAAGGCTCGCCGTAGCAAATCCTCTGGAGCTCACACATTTGCGTTGTCTGGCGTAAAAACCATTTTATGAGGGGTCTGAAGTACACGCAGATCAGCGACCAGAGGTAATCAATCATGATTGATGAATTAAAATTACTGGTTCAGTGGACACTATCATGTCCAGGTGGTGGGGCTGAAGTGGGGGATCACTGGGGTTCAACTGGTCATTGTCACGGGGGGTTGGGGGTGCAGACGGTTCTTTTACCTCGATTTTTCGTGGATTTGGAGGTTATGCTGTCATTCAGAGGCTAGGAGATCTTGTGGTGCGGAGACTCTTCATTTTTTCCTTGAGAAGGTCGGGCGATTGCGGACGACGCGGTCGGGGCGACGTGGGGTGCACTGTGAGTCGATGGGGTTTATCGATTTTTGGGGGTTCTTGAGAGGGCAGGGACGTTGACCGGCAACGGAGAATAGACAACAACACTGCGCAACACACGGGTGACGTTCGACGTTCGTGTGGGGCTCGCGGCTAGTCAATTTAGGGGCGGGGGGTGGTAAGGTAGGACTCTACGGCGATATTCAAATTTCGGGGTGCATTCTCGTGATCGACGCGCGGGTCTGTCACGAGTGCGAGTTTAGGGGAGGATAGGGCAAAATGGGCACTTGAATTTTTTAGAAATAGCCATAATAGCATCAGAAACAGATTTATGAATTGAGCTCAGTTGAAGTTTATCAAAAGGGAAATAATTGTCGTCATTCTATTCGAATTCTAATTCCCCTGATTTTCACGTTCCATAACAACAGATATCTTTTGAAATGGTAGATGAATAGTTTTATTCACTTGACCAATAGTTATAGAAAAATCCAAACTAAACTGCATTTACAGTAAACATGACGAAATTCTATTTTTCGATACCAACTGCCATCTGTTAAGGAAAATTAGTCTTAATCAAGTAATTCAGGAGTCAATTTCAAGGTAATTTAGCATGTTTTCACCCGTACATAAGATATCTCTGCAGATTTTAACAGAAATCGAACAATTCTCGTCATTAAAAGGAGAAACATGGAAATTTTCAAAATGTGACATTAAAATCGCTACATTATTGTTTATAACAATTGATGTAGTGCATAGAATAGATAATAATGGTGTCTTAATCTCAAGAATTCAATGAGACCTTGAAATTGACATATGATATATCGCCGCTGGTCAAGTCTGAAGCCTCGATAAATGTGCTAAACCTATCATTTTTGAGGTGTGACATAATGTAAAAAGCAGCGCGCCACACACCATTTGACAGATTACATATTACTACTCCTTTTTCAATTCTACCATTTACATTGGTAGTAGACTTCCAAATGGATCTCAATCTATCTTTTTAAAAAATGAACACATAAGGATTGCCATCAATTCCCGCAATTTTCCTGGACACTCCTTGACTTTCCTAGGAATTTCTATCATTTTCGTAAGTGACAATACTAACTACAAGCTAAAGTTTCAAAAGATTTCTTTGAGTTTTACCCATGTTATAATGCGTAAAAGTGAATTCCAACCAAAAAAATTGAAAAACGTAAATATCTCTAAACTTTTCGATGGGATCGTGTACATATTTTATTAGATCTAGATAGATGACATCAAGATGGACATTTTGAAATAAAAAGAAATGAAATCGGACCAGTCGTTTTTGAGATATTGAGCAAAAGAGTTTCACATACAAAGTTGAATATCTCCGAAACTAATAGTTCAATTCCGTTCATCTATAGTCCCAAACTTTATTATCATAAGACCTAAAATCATACTGAGCTTCAAGTTTCTATCTCAATTATTCTTGAAGTCATCATGCATACAAGCAATTGCAGTGAAAAACCGAAAAAATGAGGATAAAACTACATTTCTCGGGGTGGAATGGTCTTTTTTCGATCCAATTGAATAGGTATCATCATGATGAGTATTTTGAAAAGAAAATTGGAAACCATCGCATGGTTAAGGAGATATCGGCAAAAAACGATTTTTGAGGAATCGCTATATCTCAGGAACCGCTCAACCGATCAACCTGAAATTTAACACAAATTTGACTATCAGTAGTACCAATTAGCAGCCAGAATTTCAGCGTCTTTGCTTTCATCGTTCTCGAGTTATAGGGACAGTTCTAGAAAACCGGAGATGAATGTACACACACAACCTACGCATATACAGATATTTTTTAAAAACATAATTTCTTCACGTTTCATGATATTTCTAGGCATTTCCACCGAAAATTAGGAAATCGAAAAAAATCATGATTACAAAGCTTCCATTCGGAAGCAAAAAACGGAAACAATCAACAATAACCTATTGAAAATTGAATTAAATCAGATTTATCGTACACCATTTTCAAGAATAGTAAATGCTCTTCAGAAGCTAATGTTCCAAGTGCAACATGAAAATTCAATTTTCGCCTAAAGCTCTCATAAGTTAATGATTCGCATAAGTTTTGATGATGTTTTGGCCGATGAAACACTGGCTACAGGTGGAACGTAAATAACCTTGGAAGAACATTAATGTCAGGGAAATGTATGACATATGCGATTTTAGAAATTCCAACGCGGGTGATAGACGAAATGTTCTATTTCCTCGTCGATTTTACTGCTTTATTTATCTGTTCAAAACGAATATTGAAGGAATATGTGAATTGTGTCTTGTTCATTCTTTCCCGGACACTTTTTATTTCTCTGCTGCCGCAATCTACTGCACTGTTAAAAATTTTCCATTGAAATTTCCGAGAAGAGTCTCAGGAATTTTTAACATATAACATTTCCACTGAAATGTCAAGGAATTTTGTTATAAAAAAGTCATAACTTCATGGAAAAATATAGCGGAAAAAACTTAGAAAATCCCTGCTCAATAGTTTTAACAGAAAGAATATTAAGAGAAATATTCAAAGAGAAAAATTAAAATCTATTGATTTCTTCCGGTCAAATATCTAATAAAATCTGCGCAAAAAACAAAGAATTTTAACGAGAATTCTCTAGAATTTTAATAGAATTCCCATAGAATTCCTGGAGAATTCCACGAAATTTTCTAGCAAAGTCACTAAGGTTTTTTATTTAATTTCTTCATAGGTATCAACCTCGCAGATTCAGGAACATGGAGAGAAATATTCAGTAAAAATTACGGAACAATTCACGTAATCCGCAATGGGAAATCGTTTTCCGACCATTTTTATAGGAATGGAAGAGAAGAAATCTGAAACGTTCAGTGAATTTTCAGGGTCATCACCGAACAAAGTAAGAAATTGTCATGTCATTTTTCCCGAAGAAGTAAAATCTTACAGAAACTTCCCGGCTTATTATGCCTTCAAAATCAAAAATTCTTTAACGTTCAAATATTTTTATGACGCTGGTGAGTTATTTCTACGTTCCGTTCCGTAAAATTTCTCAGTCGTCGGGGAAAAATTACGGAAGCACTTGTTGTCCCCGCAGTGGTGAGTCATCAGACGGGTGGATAATTTTTACGGAACAAATCGTAGAATTTACGTGGCGATTCGTACAATTTCCGTTTCGACCTACACTTTTTATTCAATTTTACTTTGCTCGCAGATTACGTTTCGAAACGTAATTATCACGTTTTTTATGGTAATTTTTATTGAATTCTTCTCCCCGTACAGAAATTGCACTAGGGTATGAAGAAACAGGATGATGTCCCACGCACCGCAGAGATTCTCCTCAAACTTCCGGAATTTTCTGCGTGCGACCTATTCTGTCCAATCCTTCCGAACAATTATAGTCAACAAACTAAACTCCATTCGATTCTTTTGACAAAACTGAATAAAGACCCCACCGGAGATCATTCCGCCTACTTAACCATGAATATAAAAAAAAAAATTACCACAAATTAACTAATCAACCTCGGCCCCAGATCAAAAGAAACCGATCGCTGAATCCTCATTACCTAATTACCGTCAATGGGCTCCGGACAATTGAAACTCGTCCCAATCCTCCCTCATGAATTCGGAAATACTTCCACCATCTGAATGTCACAAACACTGAAATTTATTTCCTCCACCCCGTCAGAAAGTTCCGTCATCGCGCATGTTGTGCCCCCGATGCCAGTGGGAAGCAGATATCTCTCCTCATGTCACAATGGAGACTTCATAATCCCTGCAACCCCTCCGTCGACCCAACTCGATACTGCGTCAACCATCGAGATGTCCATTGTTCAACTCTCCAGTCGCTCAATAACCCAGAGATCCTGAAGGTATGAACAACATCAGGGTCATTATCCAAGTTAAACTATCTGAATACACGTAAGAATGGTTCATAGGCAAATAGACAGTCGTTGTGAGTACTGAGTGCAATACCAATGTGCAATACTCCGGGGGTTGAGTATTTGACCAGTCGCCTGAACGAAATCATCTTCAGTCGTTGGACACTAACCGCATCGTTCGGACGCTTCATCGCATTTTTTTCTTCTTTATTTTTTTCAATATTTTTTTTATCGAATTCACTCAAGTCAACAGTCGAGTGAATTTTTTAAAATTATTTTTTTTAGTGAAATAAATAGTTGGGGAGTTCAGACGATATGACAATTATTCATCTCGTCGCTTATATTTTTCTCACTTCAGGTGAGGTTTTTTCATAATTTCAACTTTCGGTTTTCGATGTGGTGACGGAGAGAGATTCTCTAGAAAAATTGTAGCGCTAGCACGGAAGCAAGGGCGCGAAGTGACGACCAGGGGAAAAATTTAGGGCTGATGGCACTGGAAATTTTATTGAGTTGCCGCGAGTTTTTTATTTTTATCAGAACTTTATCAGAAACTACTAGAATTTTTACCTTAACAGTACTAGAATTTTTCTGAAGAATTTCTTTCGGTCTAGAGGGGGTTTTATTTGGGATTCTCTTCATTGGCCCGGTGCAATTATCCTCCATTCTATCAATATAACCCAGCGATCCTGAGAGTATGAACAACATCAGGGTCATTATCCAAGTTAAACTATCTGAATGCACGTAAGAATGGTTCACAGGCAAATAGACAGTCGTTGTGAGTGCAATACCAATGTACAATACCCTGGGGGATGAGTATTTGACCAGTCGCCTGAATGAAATCATCTTCAGTGTTTGGACACTAATCGCATCGCTCGGATGTTTCATCGCATTTTTTTCTTCTTTATTTTTTCCAATATTTTTTTTATCGACTTCACTGAAGTCGACAGTCGAGTGAATTTTTTAAAATTATTTTTTTGAGTGAAATAAATAGTTGGGGAGTTCAGACGATATGACACTTATTCATCTCATCGCTTTTATTTTTCTTACTTCTGGTAAGGATTTTTTTTATTTAAATTTTTAATTTGCGGAATTATTTTTGTATCGAAATATTCGGTGCATTAAAAATCCCGACGATACTTGTGCGACAGTGACATTGCGAATGCTATTTTCGTTCCACGCCCGCGGAGCCGCATAGTGTGGGAATAACAGAGTGCATCATGTAGTGATGAGACAACTAGATTACGAGATTCAATGGGTCAAGTTTACGTTCCACTTGGACCAAAAGTTACTAAATCCTAGTTGGATGAGTGGGGGGAGTTGTAAATCGTGATGAAATGAATCGATCCCATGCACTTTTTAATTATCGAATTATCTTGATAATGAGTGAGTCCAGCAAAAAATTCTTGTGACATATTTTGTTCACTACTGGACTATTTCGAGAAACTGTGATTATATTTCAACACATTTTATACGACATGTCGTAAAACATTTGTTATTAAAAATATATAACATTCATGTTTTCTCTAAAATAATGTAATTTTGACGGATCTATAAAATTAGTAAAAAGTTAAATTAATTATTCATTAAATTATATTGATAATGACTGATTTTATTAAAGAATTTAAATAATAAATTTTTAGTTAAAAATTTTTTGCGCTGGAAAGTGAATGCAAATCGAACCCATACATTTTTTAATTATTGATTTATCTGTGTAATGAGTGAGTCCAGCAGAGAATTTCATAAAACCAGTTTTATTGAAAATGTCCTCAGCTAGAAAAAATTCTTCTGACATTTTTTTCTAAAATTACTCTGATTCAAGATAAATTCAAAATGCAAAAATATGGAATTTGAATTCCTCTATAATAATGCAATTTTTAAATAATTATAAAATTACGAAAAAGTCAAATTTTAATCATAATAAATTGAAATTTACTGATTTTATAAAAAAATGTTTGAAGAAATTCTTCATGAAAAATATTTCGCTTCTGAAGTGAATGCAAAATTCAAATGAAGTAAAACCCATTGATAATAAAATTCTTATGCGAATTAAATATTAATTTTTCCTCACTCTTTCCTAAGCTCCAACCACTCGATTATAAATAGACAGGTCCCGCAACGAGAAAGGTCACCGAAAAAAACCTCAATGAATCCCTTGAATAGGCAGATCTGACTGTAATTGCACGATTAATGAAGGCAGAGTGAAGAGAAAGATATCATTCAAGTGAGGTATAATCAGTGAGGAAGGAAGGACTTATCAGTCAGACTTTTGGCCGGTGGTTTAGTATAATTCATTCGCTCAATGCAATGTCGTGATGCTAAAATTATGTTCAATGTGAGGTTTAATTGGCAGTTTTGGTTCACGCGGGACACTGAATATTCAACCTTCACGTCAATTAATATTTTCAATCAACGAATAACAGACAGGAAAAGAATTTAAAAATAACAATTCAGTAGCGAAGCGGTAAAAACGTTCAATTCGATTTAAGCTATCGCTGAGTTTTCTAGGAATATCTCCGAATCTACGGGAGATACTGAAATATTCATAATAACCTTTTTTGCAGAGAAAATTAAGGGCTACAAAAAAGGATGAGACAAAAATCTTGCTGTCTCCCTTAGATTCCGAGATATTCACTGAAAACTAGCCAATCGTCAAGATCTACTTTGTTAAAATAAGAAACATTTTTTCAATTCAATTGCGAATTTTTTCTAGGTGTCCACGTGAGTTTGCAGAGTGACGAATCGTCTTGGACATATTCTGGTGAAAATGGTAAGAACAATTTTGTTTGCAGGAATTGACTTCTAAGTTTAATAATCAATAGATAAACAGTTGATAAATCCAATGAATCAGGGGAAGTGATAACATTCGTTATCCGATTTTTTTAATTAATAAAAGCGTCTGTTCCCTTATCGTCAGTGTCCATCTGAGATTTTCCACTACCAAAGATAAAATTCGCGCTCTTTTCCTCTTTCGGAAGAACGAAAGAAGAGAAGAATGCGAATTTTTTATGAGACACAGGGGCAACCGCGATATGTTTGTGGAGGAATTGAGCACGTTGGTGCATTTCATGTGTCAATGGCTGGCGTTATAACGTACAGCAGCTTAGAGTTTTACATAGATGAAAGAAGGGGGAGGCCTTTTGAATCGTATCGCTCTACCGCAACGGTCTCCTGCTGATTGAGGAAATGATGCGCTATAGCACAGATTGGATAATTGCCAATTTACGAATATCCTTAGTTGTTTGACGCCGTTCCGTTACCACAGAAACTAATGAGTTTAATATAAACTTCATTTCTTCAAATTATTGAATTCATGAAAAAGTGAAAAAATTGAAGTAATTTTTATTGATTTTAATACAAAACAAGCAGGGGATTGAGCCCATCCGACAGAAGGCTTGTGACCGTTACTTTTTGCGTTATTAGGCCTTTTCTTTTTTTTTTCATTTCTACCAATTTCATTGGTAGTAACCTTCCGAATGGATTCGTAGCAATTCCCTGTCCTTGTGACAGGCATAAAACGGTAACCACATGCTGCAGGGTGTCTACAGGAAAATATTCAACCTTTTAATGAAATAGATTTAGACAAAAGTTTAAATATCTCCGAAACTGTACATTTGATTGTGCCTATCCAAAATACGAATCTTCAATATTGTAAGAGCTACAATCACACCAAATTTCAATTTGTTATTTTCATTTTTTCTCGAAATATCGTGCGTACAAGAATGAAAAAATTTAAACAACGAAAAAACGGGAATATCCCTGAATCTTTGTATGGACGGGTATACATATTTTGATTGATCTAGATAGTGGCCACCGATAGAAGTATTCTGAAAAAAAAAAGAATTGAAATCCCTCCAGTAGTTCATGAGATATTTGAAGAAATATATTTACACAAAAGGTTGAATATCCCAAGAACCGCACGGCCGATTGCACCCACCCATAACACCAACCTTTTATGTTATAAAAGCTAGAAGTATACAAAATTTCAACTCGCTATCTCCATTTTTTATTAAGTTATCGTGTAAACAAGATTTTTCATGACAAAATAGAAAAACGGCAATAGCTTCCAATTTTGTCTGAACGGGTATATATATTTCGATTGATCTAGATAGAGGCCATCGAGATGAGTATTTTCGAAAGAAAAAAAGTGAAATCGGTGGAGCAGATTTTGAGATATTGGAAAAAAAACAAATTTAAAGAAGTTGTCATATCTCAGGAACTATTGGACCGATCGGGCTGAAACTGCGCACCAAAGTGAAGTTTAATCATAGTTACCATATGCCAAAATTTCAAACTTATATCGACAAATTTCACCGTATTTATGTAGAATTTTCTAAAATTTTATCACCAAAACCAAAGTTATCACACACATACATACAGACATGACCCTAAAAACATAATTTCTCCACGTTTCATGACATTCTATACCATTTGCCATCAAAATTAGAAAATCGAAAAATCGCTCAAATACAAGGCTTCCATTCGGGAGCAAAAATGAGGTTTCTGAAAGTTTAAAGAATTTCAATGATTTATGTATAAACAACAAATTTTTAAAAAAATAATTCTGTGCAAAATGTAATTTGAATGACGCTGAATATTAACGATTTATTTCAAATTTTTCTCATGCCATTTACTCGACAAATTTGATGATTGAAAATGGTTGAATCTAGTGTGGTCTGCACCAAATAGTGATGCCGTCGAGACTAGACGAGAATTATTTTGGAAAGATCATCACGGTCTAAAGAACCATCGAAAGTTTAGGAATCGTCGTAATCTCGAAAGACATTGGATCGGTGCTTCTCGTCACGAACTTGGAAGAATCCATCACGTCTGAGTTTCAGTATTTTCTATTTTTCAAATGTTTGCCTCGATATCTGTCTCGTCTCGTCTCGTCTCGTGAACTTAAAAAACCGAAAATCTCGAGATCTAGGCAAGATAAATCCTCCCGGAATTGTGACGAAATGCAACAATCCAATGTCTTTCGAGATTGCAATGATTCCAAAACTTTCGATGTTTTTCCAGACCGTGATGATCTCTTCAAAATAATTCTCAACTAGTCTCGACGGCATCACTAGTACCAAACTCTAAAAGATACTTGGATATCCTTAAAGTCTTCAATATCGTTTTACATTATAACAATTCCTCGTATAATATCCTCGATAATCAATGCATGATTGTTTTCAGGACCCGACAACTGGGGTCCCACCTGCACAACCGGAAAACACCAGTCCCCAATCGACATCGTCTCCGAGGACGCCATCAAAGACGATCTGGGCTCCCTCAAGTTCATCCGATATGACTTTGCGTACGAGGGAAAGCTGTTGAACAATGGCCACAGCGGTAAATACCCATAAATCTTCGAGCGACATAATTCGATTCAATAAAAATAAACAGCGCTTATTTTCAGTGCAAATAACTCTGTCAGGCGTACCTCTATTTCTGAATGGTGGAGGCCTGACCTCGACGTATCAATTCGAACAGATGCACTTTCACTGGGGTGCTGAGCACACCGTTGACGGCTATCAGGACGCTCTTGAGCTGCATCTCGTGCATTTTGAGAAGAAATACGGCAATGCTTCCACTGCTGCGCAGTATAAGAATGGCATTGTTGTTATTGCTGTTTTATTCAAGGTGATGGAGATAAACACCACGTACGAAAAAATTTAATAGGAAAAACGAGACATCGGCATAATCATAATTTTTAATTACTGTTAAATTTTGAATAAGTTAATTGCTGATATTACTCACCAATTTTTTGATTATTGAATTAACCATCAACTTAACTCTGGATTGGTCACCCTATGAGAAAAACCCCGCTGCGCGTTGTTTTTCTTTGATTACAATTGACTGCCGCCTAACCGGAAAAATCGAGGGGCTCTTCACAGGCGAATTCAGTGACACCGCGATTACAAAATGTAATCCATTACCCAGGATTACGGAACTGATTACACTGATTACCATTTCTTATGTGACAACCGTGATTACCAAGAGCATCGGATGTGATTATATGATTACAAATGATTCCGTCGATTACATTCTGTGATTACCAAACATCTGTAATCATTGAAGTCACAAAAATTGGCCTCTTATTAAATATGAATTGATGGAATAATTAATTATTATGACCTGCAAAGAAATGAGGAAGGAGGAGCGGGGATTATAATAGAGGAAGGCAGTCTCCATCACTTCATCTAAAAATTCGGGCATTTATAAATGCTATCAGCAAAATAAATTTATTGAATATCTACCATTGATGGAGAACGAAACTTACTAGCACATAATTCAGAGATAATTCAGTCGTTGGTTCTCCAGAATAAGACGAAATTTTAACTCTGCTGAATGAATTTTCTACGGACAAATGCAAAACGCATTGGCTATGCAAGGTTCTGAACCATAAACATCTGGGGTTCCAAGAAAAATTAATCCAGGGATCTCTGAAACTTACCGTTGGTAGAAATGACGCGCTCGAAAATTCAAAAACAAAATTCACGGTCTCACTAGCAGCAACTACGAAACATTATACTGATTACAAATGATTACAGTGATTACAAATGATTACCGATTGATTACCAAAACTTAAGATTACAATGATTACATTGATTTCACTGGGATTACAATTGATTACATCAGCGAGTGACACCACGATTACGCCTGTAAATAGCCCCTCGGGAAAAATTGAAAAAAATTTGACTTTGTCAATTGAAGTGTCTAAAAACTTATACTAATTTTTAGAACAACATATTTCCCAAAATTCCTAAAGAAAACAAATTATTTCGAACAGATGAATTATTTTTTCCCACACGGAAAGAAATATTCAGTCAAAATTATGGAACAATGCGCGTAATCCGCAATGGAGAATCGTTTTCCGGCAATTTTTATAGGAACGGGAAATCTGAAATGTTCAGTTAATTCTCAGGTTCATCACCGAACAAAGTACAAAATTGTCACGTAATTTTTCCCGAAGAAATAAAATCTTACAGGAACTTCCCAACTTATTATGCTCCAAAATAAAAAATTCTTGAACGTTCAACAATTTTTATGAAGCTGATAAACATTTTATGACAACACAGCGGCGAATCCCCGCGAAGGTGACCAAAGTCGCGGGTCGCGTTTGGTGCCCAGACTAGAGTTAAATATTCAAATTCCGAATTATTTTATCAATCATCAGCTTAAATATTCAATTTTCGGAATATTTTATCCACCAATAATTGAGAAATTTAAATTGCCAATTATTATAGTATTTTTCCAATTTCAATGAAGATAAGTAAATCTTAATTATTGTAATGTGCAACTTCTCATAGTATTACTAAAGTAATGATTTCTGTCGATCTATGGGAAAAACTCATATGACTCATATGTGATATGACAACATTATGCCCAATTTTCCCCATTTATCAATTTTAAAATATGTCAACACTTTACAGTTGAGTGATGGTGACAACAAAGATCTCGATCCAATAGTCCAAGCGACTGAGATGGTAGCCCACTGGATAGGGCCCAGCACAGCAGAGATTCAACATAAAATCATCCCTCAGTTACTACTCCCGAAGGACACGACATCCTTCTACAGATACGAAGGATCATTGACAACACCGGGATGCCAGGAGACTGTCACGTGGTTTATATTCACAGAAAAATTGACGGTTTCACTGAACCAGGTGGATATAATTTTTCATAATTTTTCTATCGCACAGAGAACTTAATTTGTTCTATCAATTCGTATGTCAAAATTTGATGGAAAACCGAGCGCTTTTTCCAAGAAATTCTATTGAATTGCTATTGAAATTCTTTCTGAACGAAAGCATGGCCAATATCTCGAATCGAAAATGAGAATTCGAGCAAGGTGGATATCTCGAACGAATAGAGACCGTAAGGCGGTTTTCATAAGTACAATCGTCTTGCGTCGAATTTTCATGAAGCTCGCCTCACAACCAGAAGAGAACTGAATACCATTCTATGAAACATGAATAAACGAATCATAATTGTCAAAATCAGGTAGGTCAGAGGAAAATAGAATACTTCTATTTGCTTAATAAATATTACGTTTACTAAGGTTTTCTTCGAACAAAGTTGATTAGAATTAATAGCTAGAATTATGAGATTATTTCACATTTTCTACGTTAACGATAGGAGAATCTGAATGCAATATAGTGAAAATGATGATCGATTTTTTCACTTTGAACAAATAATATTAATATCCAAATACAAAATTTCTGATATAAATAAAAAGAAGCTGCGACTCAATATTCCAAATGAAGTTTTAATTTTTAATTTGGTGCTGAAGACACGAGATGACAATATTCTAAGCACGGAATTATATTGATGAGATGAACAACAAATTAATTGAATTACCGTGTGAACTAACTGAAAATTGATAACAGTGTGGACACGCACTTTTAAGAGAGTATCAACGAACATTGAATTCCAGAAATTCACACTCTAAAGTGTGTTCTAGAAGGAATTAAATTGTAATTATGATTAAAATCTTATTCAGTGAGCATAGGAATTAAAACATGGGCAAATCATTTATTGTAATATAAAAATTTAACAGCTGATAAATTGGGACATATGACTCTCATCGGTCGAATTGCTTTTTGCAGTGAGAATGATTACAAACAAATAGGTTTATAAGAATTCCATTGATAAATTTCATTTGTTTTTTGCGCCAATTCTATTGAAAATTATGCAACTTCCCCGTGCATAGAAAACAAGTCTATAGATATTGATTTTCCTATACAACTTATTCTATAATTTTTTTTTCTATCAAAACTCATCGACATCATTATTCCATTTTTTTTCCTCCCATTTTATTATGAGAAACAGAAAAATGTTGCGGAAAAATTTGACACAGGAAAGTTACCTAATCTACTGAAATAAATAGAATTACTCAATAGAATTCTGATAGAACTTCAGGATAATTCTTACAGAATTCCAGTAAAAATTCTGTAGAATTTCGCAAAGAAAGCGCGAGATCTTTCAATTAAATTTTTGCGGCCACACAGTATTGACATAACTTCAAAATATTGATTCATTATTCAATATTAATGTTGACATTGTTATAAAATTGAATTTTTTATCCGATTTCAGTTGAGTGTCTTCCAGGAATTGGAAACCGCCCAGGGTCCCCTAAAATTCAACTTCCGACCGGTTCAGCCCATCAACGACAGAAAAGTTTACCACCATTTGTTAGGATACACTTCAAACTCAATAATATACACCAGTAATTTACACATCACATTATTATCACTAATATCATTATTACCGTTCTCCCATCATTATTTTTAGTTACGAATAAGTTCTCCAAGTTGTTCTCATTGAGACCCCTGTGCCGCCTCTACCACCGGTTATTCTCGTCGTTTAATATCCATGAATTCAAGGAAAAACAGTATCAGAATGCATGAGAAAACTTCAACGTTTTATTATAAGATGAATCATTATTCACTGAGGATTGATACCATTGAAATTTACAGTGAGTTTAATTTTTTTTAAATTTAGGTTCCTTCAAAAATATACATTCTCACGTCTCTTTAATCTGGCTTTTCTTCTTTTACACCTTGATGTTCCTCGATCATTGCGGCGAGTCTGGCGATTTTGACAATCGTTTGTCACGAATTCGATTGTTAATTTTCGTTCTTGGGGCGCGGGTTTTTTTTTGTTGCCAGCGTTGCTTATACTCTGGACTTGAACGCTGTACGTGCAGTTTCTTTCGAGGCCTTTTATGTCGTATCGAGTTTTCTGCAAAGAAAAATTAGTTAATTTTTGGGGGACATGCCTCATCTTTATTTATTTATTCATTCATTAATCTATTTATTTATTCATTCATCAATCTATTTATTTATTCGTTTTATTTATTATTAAACCATTTAGTTATTAATCTATTTATGTACTTCTTGGTCCAATAATTTAAATATTAAAAATGACATACAAAAATCTAGCGAATTTGCTGAAAATTCTGTTTGATTTTTCTATAGAATTTGTTAATTAATTTGTTAATTTCAATCACTTGTGCAATGCCGAAGTATCGATTTCGATTATTGAACTTCGAGTCCTTCGATTTTTCCAATGATTGACAACTCTCCTCCGTCCAACTGACGTTATAATTGGACGCATGGCTATCCAAGGGCCACACCAGTCGCACCTCGATGTCATTGGCGCACCGGCAGATCAATCGACGCACACGCAGATCCACATGGTGCCGCTCACACCTTCCGTTTCGCCCCGGCTCGGCTGCGAAAACGGGAGAAGTATATTGAATAGAAGGGATTACACGTGGGAAAAAAATTAGTGGAAAAATCTGGCGATGTCGTCGAGAAATTCTATTGAATTTTTAGCGGAATTTTGTTTAAAAATTCTATTTAGCGCTAATTCTATTGAAGATTATGAAATTTTTCCCTGTCATTTTGGTGAGAGATATTTTATAAAAATTGTTATAAATGAATAGAAAACAATTCTTAGGAATAAGTTTTCCAAGTTTTTTCCATTGCATTTTAATTATTTTCTTATAATAAAATTTATGAATAAAAAACTTGGAAAATTATAGTTCAAGAATTTTCATAGAATTCTTTTTTATATAAACAAATATCTGTCGATAAATCCCCGTCAGTGACATAATTTTTAAACTAAAATTATTTCTATTTATTATTATTCTTCAGAAATGAATGTATTTTTTAAAGAAAAAAACCATAAGGCCCAATGGATATATAAAGTGTGCGGAATGCGCAAGACACCCTAGTCCAATAAAAGTTCAATGCAATTTTTCAGAGAAAGCGCTGGGATTTTCTACTGATGATGTGATGCAGTGTTATAGATGTTTCCAGTGTTTCGGTTCTCTGTTTCCGTTGTATTTTCTTACCTATACGTCGCATCCCTACCGTATTTCTCGTAATCCGTGCTGTTGAAGACTATCGACGCCTTACGGGATGCCAGTCGACGATCTCCGTACAGGGATATCGCTTGGACTTGGAGGAAGTATTGAAAGCCGATCTCCAAATTTTTTATTTCGTAACAATTTTTCTCCTGAAATATGGGAGTGGGTCAAACGGAATCACGCACGAAGAAATTTCGTAGGAAAGCTTAGCGAATTCGATAGCAAATTCTTGAAGAATTTAATTTTTTAAAAATTAATAATTCAACAATTGAATTTAGTTTATGTAATGATTATATCGGACATTTTCCATTAAAAAAACACAGAGTAAAGCGTTTTTTAGGGTAAATGTCTAATAAAAACTATTTCATAGAAAAAATCTGCAGAATTTCGTTTTTCTATACAGCTATTTTTATATTTGTTTTACTCGATTTTCCTTCTCTTTTCATTACAAAATTAAAAAATCCAGCCGAGGCATTTCCGTAGAAAATATCTCAATACAATCCTTTCTTTTTTTCTATAAAAAAAAAGTAATTCCTTACCTTCGGAACACTCTGGTGATGAACGAGAATTGAGTCATTAGGTGGTCCGCGTATGAAACGACTCCAAAAGAGCTTGTAGAACATGATTGGTACATCGGACGATGGTTGCCTCCACCGCAACAGAATTCTCAAGTTTCCATTTGATGGCTGGACACGTGCACCACTCAGCGATAAATTCCGGGGCTCTCGTGGATTTTTTGGGGCTGATGAAAAAGAACATCAACTCAACTAAATGAAAGAGGGATGAAGGAGGGCCATAAAGATTCCAGGTTTTACTAACGATTTCTCACTCGTTTTTTTTTCATTAAAAAATGAAAAAAATCAAATCATGACAAAGAATTTTTAGAGAGACAATCCCAATAGAATAAGTTTTATAGAAGAAACAATATCGTATGAGATTTATAATAAAATATTTATAAAAGAATGGCATTATTTTCAATGAAACTTGACGCATATTCTATATTGTTAATTTATTAACAGAAATTTATTAACAAAAAGCAATGCTATATGACAATAAAAGCGATTTCCCCCTTGTTTTTTTTATTGGAAAATAAAGCAAAATAAAAAATTATGCCTAATAATTTTTAAACAGAAAATTCCAATAAAATAAGTTTTACATCAGAAACCATATCTTATGAGTTTTTTCACCAAAAATTCATTATAAAAATGGCACCATTTTCGGTAGAAATTCGCGCAAATAACAAATATAATTTTCAAATGAATTCCTCAGAGAAAGCGTCAGATTTTTCATTATGATTGTTTTGTATGGGCGCCAACTGAATTGATTTCTCGATAAATTACCTGCAGTCTTAAAGGGCACAGATGGTAATGAGTATCCTCCCGAGCCATTCTCATTAACCGCAGCCACTCTAAATTGGTACCAATGGCCAGTTTTGAGTCCAACACGAATCGACGCGTGTGGCTTGCTGGAAACGTGACGCACAGACCACGAACTCAGTCGCGATTCCAAGTAACGTGGCCCAAGTACGTGACGTTCTTCAACGAGATATCTGATACTCGATTGTTCATCATTTATTAAATCTTGTTTGAATTTTGTCATTTTCACACTTCTCTTGCTAGTCGTCCAGTTGAGGGTTACCATCGTCGTTTTTTCGCGACGAATCTCTATGTTGTCTGGTATCGGCGGTATATCTGAGCCATAAGTATACCAAATTCATTCTATTTGTATCATTTATTCATGAGACATTTCAGATTTCACACTTTATTACACTGTTAGAAAATTACTCCTGAAATTTCAAGTAAAGAAAATTGAAATGTTCAACTCTCACTGATTCACCCGAAATTTTCATGTATTTTGTTATTGAAAAATCAGTTGAATTCTAAAGTATTCAATAGAAATGTTCAATGAAAAAATATTCTATAGAAAAAATCAATAGGATTACATTTTCTCTATAAAAGTTCTCTAGAAAAGAGCAAAAAAATGGAGTTTAAAAAACTTAGAAAATTCATGTCGAGAAGTTCCTACAGAAAATGTCTCAATAGAGAAAGTCGTAAAGAAGGATGAAATTCTACTGTTTTTTTCTATCAAAAAGTTTCGATTAGATATGTTTTTATAAAAAATTGCTCGGCCCAAATTTCTCAAGTTTCTCCGTTTGATTTTATTAATGAAAAGAGAAGAAAATTAGAGTAGAAAAACGTAGACTTAGAAAACTCGTCGGCTTGAATTTTCTAAATTTCTTTGTTTGATTCTTTTTTCATTTTTTTCATGATTAACACATTCCTCAAATCGTGGAATGTATTAATAATGGTTGATAAAATCTAATTTGGTTGACAAAGAAGGATAATCGAATGATAAAAACTCCGAAAATTCATATCGAGAGATTCTTCTAGAAATTGTATCAATTGAAAAAATTGTATAGAATGGTGAAATCCTACTGAATTTTTCGATGCAATATAACTGCGGAATTCTGTAATAGAATCGGCCAAAAGCTAATAGAATTTTCAATAGAAGTTCAATAGCATTTTCTAGCGAATTCGCTGCCATGAATGAAAACCGTAATGTAAAGTATTGTTGACCGAATTTTGCAAGAATTTTGACCATAAATATTATTGTGAATTACGTATGTTCCTTCAAAGTGAATAAAAACGGCAATACTTAATTGTTTAAAAATTTTTTGATGGAGATTTTCGTTAATAGGACTTCTATGCACTTGGAGATAGCATCGCGGTTTTTTTTGTAGGGCTTCAGAACAAGGTTATTTAGAAGATTGTAAAAAGTGCGGGGCGGCATTCACCAAAGCGCGCCCGACGGAGTGTTAATGGAGAAATAATTTGTTCTGATCATCTTACCATCGCGCTCCTCTAACCCCGTCGGCATCATGCAAGTGACTCCGCAGTCATTAGTGCAGCACTTTGTGAAATCCGGGCATTGCGAGTCATCTCCGCATGCCTCCAAGCAGGCAGCTTCGAACGGAGACATTGAATTTTCCTCAGGACAATTCCCGGGTTTTGTATAATTCTGAGCCAAGCAATTGTTCATACACTGCAATGGAAATTGATGAGCAAAGATAACATTTGCTGTTTTTAAAACACACAGACGTACGGAAAAATTATGGAAAATTTCTTCCAGAAGAAAATATATGGGTTGGAAATAGTATAATTCGATACGAGTGCGTAAACGTGTTTTTTGAGTATACCTGATACTATTCTATGCAAATAAATGTAAAAATGAATGGTCAAGTCTCATGACAAAAGGCGTTGGTTGGGGCCTACTGTAAATAATACAAATCTCAATTTTTCAAAGGAGATATATCATGCAATCATTTTGTTTTCTGGATAATACAACCACCTCAACAGACCCAAGGAGATGGGGGGGGGGG